TCGCATTTGTTTAGTCAAAATTTCTCAGTAATAATTTCTCGTACATTCTAAACTTTTTCACTAATTTAACAATTATAAATATCCCTCTTAATATCAAAACTATAAGTAAGCTAATTTCTTTTTCTTCCAATAGCGTATACCACTGCTAATTTGGCTCGTTCCACTTGCGACGAGATAAGACCTTTCCAAGCCTCCAACCCGATGCCAATCCTGAGAATAGCTAAAATCACTCTTTTTTCCTCTACTTAAACCCATCTGGACTTCCTATGTTCAAAATTCCCTCTGTCTCCATCGATTCAGGTCTTGATTGGTTCTATTCTCTTTTGATGCCATTCATCATAGGATTTAATAAGATTGTACGCATATTCTTGTGGTGAGCGACGAAGAATATTGCCAAATCAACGTATGATGCTTCGTGACGATATAATGTTCGAACGAAAGTGAATATGAGGTTTTACCTACTTGGTGTAAGATGTACCTTAAATAAGAATGGTCAAAAACAGATAGCTTGTTGATATCTCACATTCTCACTGGTTCGTAGCCGTATGGTATGTTATTAATATTATAGCCAGATGGATGCGATCTTTTGGTTGGTTTCATAACGATTCTTGAGAGGTTTGGAAGAAAGAAAGCTCCTCTGGCTGCTATCCGTCATTCGAGCTGGAATTTCTATCGCCTGGACATACGAAGGTGGATCCGAGATGCTAAAATTTTTGCTACTTCTTCGGCCGTTGATGAATTTATTTGAATTGCGATCTCATCCGCTGATATATAACGTGAAGAGAGTCTCATCTTATTTATCTGAAGGCAAATTACTGCTAAAAAATTGATGTAGCGTCAGTCGCAGCCTCTCATAACTGCCAGAGAAAAGGATAACACCATAGGTGTATTCAGAGTCCATATGATGTCCAGGCAAATGATGTCCATAACCCAATTTATCGCACAGTTAAAAATCGTAAAGGAGAATAAAAACGCAGCTTTAGCCCACACCGGCACTTATTATAAGCATATAAACACGTACAAAAGCCTATGTCAACTCCCAGCACATCTATTCAAATATATGCCAGCAAAGTGCTTTGACCTCACCCTCCTGCTGCACCACTTGCTGCCCTGTTGATCGGATCAAAATAGCGGTGAAAGTCGAAGAAGCAAGTAATGTTTGTCGATGTGACACGCTTCCAATGCGCTTCTCAGCGAGAAAATGTGGTCCTCCACGCTTTGGCCTATTTTGGCGGACAGTGAATACTCGAGTGAATACTTGAATATAAATATAAGGAGGAATTTAAAGAATTTTTAAAAAATCCAATATATATAAAAATCCAATAATCCAATAAATCTAAAAGAATTATAAAAAATTAGTAAACCACAAGCGACAAAAGAATCAAAAGTAAGGAAATGGAAAAAAAAAGTAAGACTTGAAATAGGTGTTGGCCTCTAATTCTGCTGGCTCACCTCATTTGGAATGGAACTTTTTGAGAGGTTCACTTGGGTACAAATTTTTTTCTTAGAGTACTCACCACTGCTGGTTAGGGCTCCATTAACTTGTCGAACCAGACAAATTTTGCCAGGGAATATAATAAAAAGTATATTAGGGAGTGCACTGAAGTGCATGAGTCGCCACCACCATTTAGACGTTTTTTAAGGACACGTTTATCCCTGTTTGGAATAGACGCCCAGAAGCAGCGATCGGCGAAATGAGAGCAACTGAACTTTTTTTGCTTTCGTCATTCCAAGCCGAAGCGCCGCCGACGAGCACCCGGGGAATAGAAATACAACGTTTTCAGAACTATTCGAGTTTCACTCCTGAGACGATGCTTTATCTTAGATAAATAAATGGCAGCCAATTCATGTTCGTATTATAAAATGTTGCGCTCAGCCTTCACTATTTCTTCTGAGAAAAGTATAAACAATAAACAAAACAAATTAGTTAAACAGAAGCTTGCAAGCAGCGAATTAAACTCTGCAACGTCATATTTATCGAGATTATGGAAAAATGTATTTGCTCGTGGAATTCTCGAAATCCATTTTTTGAGCCTTAAAATCTTAAATTCTAAGTGGATAGAATGGATGGTAAGATCCATGAAAAAGAGTCCATTGGATCTTTTTGCCATACACTTACTTCCTAATAATATTTTCAGAAATTCGCACTCTATATTATTCGTTATATCGTGTGAAGAAAAGCCCGCAGAATCCTTGTAATTCTTGTGGCAATAACGAGGTTTTGACCTCATTTTCCCTAGAGCCACAATTGCCGACACCGCATTCATTAATAATAGGTTCCTCAACGGGTAGAAATCATTGAGGCAAAGATTTACTTCAGTTTTACTATTTACTATTTCGATCGTTTAAAGGCGAATGATCCTTTTCAATGTTTTGTAAATCATTTACTATATTTTTAGGAAAATTAAAACACGCAATAAATTCTGAGATATTTATTTTTTATAAATTTATATTTATTGCATTTATATGAAATATTTACTGTCTTCTAATGCATTTCGAATTGTAGAATTGTCTTTCTTTTGTGATATATAAGAGATTTGTCAATTTTCAAATGAGTAATTAAATAAAATAATTAAATAAATAAACTAAATCGAGGAATTGAAAATGCAAAAATGGGAGGAAAGATTCGTATATATTGATGGAAAATGTCCACAAGCAGTAGCAAGAATGACTAAATCAATCCACAATTGTAGTCCGAAAATCAATTTCATTGAATTCGCAAAAGCAAATTAGACTCGTTGGATTTTGCATTAGCATTGCATCAAGCGATCAAACCAGCTTGAATGTGACCAGTGGTCACTCAGTTAGTAGCTCGGGGACTGACCAATTGTAAAAATTATCTAATCGCATGTTTGTCGCACCATTTTTATTCGCACTGCATATGAAAAAAGCCCAGTCCGTTTTTTCTTAATTTTTTTAATTTAGTTCCTCATTTTATTTCACCTTTCCACGTCTAATATTTTTTTTAATTTACCATTTTCTCTTTCACTTTACCTTTATTGCCAATTTCACATACCAAAAACGGCTAATCAGTATTTGAATACATCGCAGAATCATTAAGTGACAAGAAAATAAATGCAAAGAGAACAGAAGTCACGAAAAAAACTCGAAAGACATGAAAAAATTACCTGCTTGCAGCTTAGAAGCCCTCCTTCTACTGTTCTCGAATCTCAAATCCAGAAATCTCAAATTTTCTACCAAACCACCTCAAGCTCAACTTTCTTTTAGTTTAATTTCCTTTTACTAAATTCTCTTATTTGTTATATTTAAAATATTTTTATTTTTATTACTGCATTTAACTGTTCTCCACGGGTCGTTTGAATATAATAGCTTCTATAAGAATAGGCACAATCTTTTGAAAATCTGAAATATGCAAAATGGACGACAAAAAATAATTCCTGGAAAATTTTCCATGGAAATGAAGACAAAAAATTTTTAACATGCCTTGAAATACAAAACATAGGAAAATCACTCCAAATTTTTGATGAATTCCTTTAAACATTCACCTCAAAATGCAAAAAAAATAAATAATGCGCCACGCACACGGGACAATGAAGTTCATTGTCAAGGAAAAGTTCATCAACAAACAATATTTATGAAAAAAATTATATATTATTATAAATCATGTGATTTAAAACTTTAATCCATTCAACGAACAAATTACAAATTTCAGCGAAGTTTCTAGAAATATAAGATTTTGCTCTTGGAAAAAAAGGATTACGATAAATACGATCGAATATTACAAAGTTAAATAAAAATTTATAAAAATTTAAAATAAAAATTTAACAATGAAATAAATTTCAATTAGCATGAATTTCAATAAAAGTGCATAATTTTCCCATATTGCCAAAAAAAATTTTTCAATATTTTTCGAAATAACAATTTTTCGAAACAAAAAAAAGTGGAAAAATGGAACAAAACTTCAACATACACGTGAAAAAACAAGTCGATAATCTGCAGATGAAAGATTTTTTAAAACAGAAACCAAACAAAAGGACGACTAGACGATAAAAAACAAATCGAATTCATTTTTTTTGGCAATCAATGTTTTTTACCACGCAGTGGTAAATTTACAATTGCTTTTTGGATAAAATCCAGAAGAAAGTTATTTCGATCGTTTTTTCCCTATTTTTCTTGGTCGTTTTGAATGAAAACTTTTCTTTCCTTTCTTCACCTTATCGAAATGTTGTTTGCGATGAACTGTAGATCTATTACCAAGGCCTATTTTATTTTTTTTTGCTTGTTGCTTCTTCCTATAATATTATATTATACCATAATATATTATCAAGCGATTTTTGGTGAAACAAGATCAATTATAATAAACAACTTACTGCAAGTAAATAGATAAAATTAAATAAAGTGCTCCAGAATTAAATAATACAATAAATCATTAATATTAATTCTGACAATCCAAGGATCCAATTAAAAAAGAAAAGTGGAAAGTATAGTGAACTAACTCTATCTGTTCGATTAATTGGTTTTGCTGGCTAGCAGCTAAACGACTTTCATTCACTTTGGGGGCATTAGATGAAATTTTATTAAAAATTTCCAAATGACGCTTCCTTTCATCATTAACAGAAATTTCATTAGGTTGGAACTAAAACTTTCAATTGGAAAAGACTGAAAAAATATTGAAATTGAAAATTAAAAAGAAATATTAAAAATATTAAAGTACACATATTCAGTCAGCCTTTACTTAGTGAAAAGGAATGCAATTTAAAGCCATTCTTTTTAAAAAAACTTGTGAAAAAAAACCACGAAAAAGCAAAACTATCAACTTATGTTAATTTTATAATTTTATAAAACGAACACTTGAAAAAACGAACCATAAAAAATAAGCAAATTTCTATAGAAATAAACTACATGTTTTAATATCTTGGTGGAAAATATTTAAAATATTTAATATTTTTCAATAATATTAAATAATAAATAATAATTATAAACATTGATAATAAATAATTATAAATATTAATAATTATTAATAAATAACAATAATAATATTAATAAATAATAAGTAATATTTCACAAACCTTATGAGTAGTATAATTTTTGTTTTGCTGTTTTTCACTTTTCAAATTCGGTTGATATTTTCCAAATGATGCAGTAGCACGTTTTGCTCGGTCCAACTGGTTTAAAAGCTAAATATAGGTGAATTACAAAATATTAGACCTAAAATTTGAAGTCTGGTTTAGACAAACAAAGAAAGGGGAAAATAAATTTTAAAAAAATTAAAGAATTAAAAAGTGCTTAGAAATAAAGACTCGAAAATCTTTTCCTGAGCCAAGTAATTTTTAAAAAATATTGCCAGCTAAAAAACTACATGAATATTAAAAATAATTGAGCACCTGATGTTTGTCACGATCGTTAAATTCTACAGTTATTCCTAACGGTTTGTTGCCTATAACCTCGTCTGAAAATCGACGGCTTCGCTTAATGTTTCGCAATCTCTGTAGTTCATTTTTGCTCCTCCGCTCTTGCTTATCTTTTTCTCTTTCAGCAAAATAATCAACCATAGGATCTATGATAAAACAGCATTAATTAAAATTAAGAACATAACACAATATATCAAATTGAAATCGATGCCTTTACTGATTATTTAAATCTAAATTGTAAATAAATTCAAACAAAATAAAGTGAAAAAGGATAAGAATTGATATAAACGAATATCTGAAAAGAAACTCAATTGAATTGCCTCATGAAAAAAATTTTAAAAACCTTTTCCTTCAGGAATTTCTATTAACCAGTCTTTTTCCTTCTCTACTCGACTTCGCTTGTATCCATAACGCGGCCTCCATTCCTAAAAAAAGACAATAAAACAAATGAAAAAAATTATGATAAATAAATCAAAATGTAATAGAATAGATAAAGAATCAGCTCGAAGGCTAATATATAGCTTGCCTTTGTGTCTTTATCAAAAAATTTTTTATCTCTCTTTCGCTGGCGAATCCCTTTCTGTTGGGCATATTGCTGCCATTTTGTTAAAGGTTTATTCTCAGGAAGTGGTTTTTCACGAGGAATCCTCAGCACTGGCAGAGGCAACTGGAATTTTTCTGATTAAATAATAACTAGGTTCATATATAATTATCGCAACTTTGCAAAAAAAATTTCAACTTTAATTGCATGAATTATTAAAAAAATGAACGAAACGATTGAACGAGCTGTTAAAAGAAGAGTCGGCATTAATAAAACTGCTTCTATTTTAAAATAGACTTACCTTAGCACAGACAACATTATCAACTGTTAATCGCTCTAACTTCCAAATTCCATTAAATAAATGCTGGGTATTATCACGAGTTAGTTCGCAAACTTTATCTTCAGCATAACTGAAAAGAAAATCTGAGATGGAAAATTCGAAGATATAAAATATACCTTACTGTAAGAAACGTAAAAAATTTAAAAATATAAGTTTTAAAAAAATAAATTTAAAAGAAATTTTAAAAAACTGATGGTCCTCCAGCTTATCTCATCACAAAAAAACAAAATCTGCTTCCTTTTTCTTTTTAATTTTTCCTACTTTACCTCATCTTTACTAAAATAAGTTTTCACCCCCATTTTCGCCTACCATCAGTCGTACGACTTAGAGTCGGACGCCAAAGTTCCCTTAGCAGCATATGTGCCATTTATGCTAAGAAAAAATTACTGTTTTTTTAACAAAGCAAAGTTTATATTTAAATTTAGAAAAAAAATGAAAAAAAATTTAAAAAAATTACCTCTTATATTGCTGCAAGAAAGCAAAAAACACAGTGTATAATATAAAAATAACCATAAAAAACTTCATCTCTGGTCAATATTCACTTGCCATTTGCTCGTGTGGACGCAATTAATGCAGTAGCCACATTTTCGCGCGCAATCCATACGATCAAATGACAGATGAACCAAATAAGAAATCACCGATCTTATAAGAATTCAGAAGATTCTTCCACTTAATGTAAGCCAATTTACATTCAAAATTTCAAACGATTAAACAAAAAATAAAAAGAGAAAACTTATACTTGTCGTTATTATCATCGTTCGACAAAGGATCGTTATCAATGATAAGAAGATTGCCCAAATCAGTAAATGTCTCCGTTATCTTCTTCATTGCCATTACTTTATCCCCATCCATCCAATCAACTACCTTGATTTGAGACTTGATTTGAAATATAGGAAAAAACAAAAGGGCCACATTCTGTCACATTTTACTAATCATCGTACTCGTTCGACCATAGCACGGAATATTCCCATGGTTCATTTATTAGTTCACTGTGGACTCGTGTGAACAAGCAATACATTGTTGCGTTGAACTAAAAGCATGTGCGAGCCAAATCATTACATCCATGCATATAGCACAGAAGATCTTCCGCTGGAAATCTTCATAAAGTCCACGAAATCCGAGACCAACAACTTAAAAGCTCGTGTCTTGTTAGTTGGGCTGAGGAGATCCAGTCTTTTCGTTTTAATCTTCGTTTTACTTGTTTCGAAATAGGTCAGAAATAAAAATAATGTGCGCAACAATAATATGTGGCTTAAACAAAGAAATTGTGGTAAATGAGGTACATGAGGATTTAAATAAAATTACATTAATGGCTGATAAGAAGCTGCGGATTATGCATCACAAATTTATATAAGAAATGACAAAACTGAAATAGATAAAGGGTCGATGGGAATTTTATTGAAAGATTTTTATGAAATCCATTCTGCGACCATATGGATCATTCTTCATAAACAACGCCTTCACGATTTTCGTAATTTAAAAAATCATCTAAATCTGTCAGCATACCGACAATTGTGCCTCCTTTCCCTGAGGCTATCAATTCCTTTAGCGATATTCTGCAATTTAGCATAAAGTTAGAGAAAATATATTATCTATTGAAAAATATAAAGAGAAATAAAAAATTAAAGTAAGAATAATAAAGGAAAATAACAAATAATCGGCAAAATCACCTAAGCGGATCTTTCGGCCGACAGATATCAAATATTTCATCCTTAACATCATTAAAAGGTGGTGCTTTTTGCGAAGCATCATCATCCGCGATACAAGAATCCAACATTTCAGCAATGTCTCTGTAAAAATAGTATAAATCTGCAGCATTCAAAAATCCATCTCCATCAACGTCTAATATTCGAAAGTAATAACTTAGAGCTGAACTATCCTGAAATAATTTAGCATCGAAATATGAATATTAGTCATTCTTTAAAAATCGCTTAGCGACTAATCCTAAAAAAATTAATGCAATGGACCAAGAAATCGCAGATCAGAACCAATGAAAATAATTTCAAGTTGGATAAATCATTCAATAACTTTTAACTGTGCTAAGCCAAGTTAATTACTTTATCTAATGCGCATAAATAATTATAATTTCTCTTTTTCAATCTTTTTTTTAAAAATTTTGATTTTTTTCTCGCCATAAATTTTGTGATTCAAAGGAAAATAAGAGGAAGCCGTGGCAGCAGTAAGCATGCTAGTGAATAATACCATTTTAAATTTACCGATTTATATTGCATTGCAAGCAATAAATCACAAAATCCATTCAAATCGATCTCATTATTGTAATATGTTTGTTGTACTTCAAAGATCCTTAAAAATGACATTAATTCACAATAGTTGAATTTAAAATAAGAGTTACTATATAAAAACGACAATTATAACGACAAGCAATTATTTTTATAAAAACGAAATGTAAGGAAATATGGTGATCTTGAGAAAATTATTCAACTAAGAACACTTCACCAGCGTATATCACTACAAGTCCGTGTGGGGAATCGACCCTTTAGAAATGGTAAAAGCTACATCCTTTTATTTCCAGACCAGAGTATTGTACCTCAAGATGCTGATAACATAATCCCTTCCATTGCAGCGAGTGAATCAATGCAAATAAGATGAAGGACCCTTTCATTTTGTGTACCAAGATGCTGATAAAATGCTTATTTTAACTAATGCATAACAAGTGGAGAAAATGCCAAACTTTAAATGTTCTTATTCTTCATATTTCATCCCATACAAAATGGTCAGAAAACTGCAACCAGATAATCGCAGCTATGAGTTATTTTATGGAACCGCCATGAAATTACTATAAAAACGAAATTTTCCATCTATTTAGCAGTAATGCGTATTATCTTATTAAAGGAATACGAAATATGGCCGATAAAAGTGGATGATATCAATAATAGTGATAATAATAATGATCAAGCATACCTAAAGTATTTTAGGCGTACATCAATTAGTTTATAAAATTTTACATAATCAGATCCATCTTCGTTCGAAATCATCTCTAATTTTTTTTTAAGAATTCTTGCCACTTCTGGTCAGGTTAGTTTCACTGGCTTGTTGGATCAGGAAAATTTTGTCAGAGAGCCGTTTGGCGATATAAACAGAAATGAATCGCCACCATCACTCGGAAAAATAGATAAAGGATCCATGTAGAACCTTAGAATTCAACCCACTGTGCCATTTTATCCTGTGCCATTCTACGATACTCCCACTAGATTTAGCGTGAAGCATCAGTCAAATTCGAACTTCTTGATTCTCTACTGCGATCATCTTGTCACTAAGCCATTGAATTAGCATCTGTATCGACAGTACCGTCAAATAACGTCGGTAGTCCATGTTTTTCATCGCTCACCACAAGAATTAATGCATATCTTGCACCTTATTAAGCCCCATGTTGGATGGCTTAGGATGGCGTCGAGAACCAAACAAGACCTGGATACAATCAGAAAAGATTTCCAATATATAGGTACATGGAATATAGGAGAGTCTTCCGTTATTTTTAGAATCGATAGAAAGGTCTTGTCCTTATAGACAGCAAAGCCATCCGTAAAAGAAGAAAAACAAATATTGTTCAATAAGAAAAGAAAATATAAAAATATTCTAAATTTTTACAAAATCAAACCTTTGAATAAAAGTATTCGTAAGGCGCTGAAAATTTGTCATCTCGTCCAAACTCAAAAGACCATTTGAGTCTAAATCTAATACTTTATAAGATTCTCTGATACGAATGAAGTTTGCTTTCGAAAACCTAAAATCTAAGAAATGAATTTCAACAGAAAATGAAAATTTAAAAGACAAAAAGAATAGAAGATAATTACAACCATTGATCCGCATTTTGCTTTGGAGCAGAATTTTCAGTATTTTCACATTCTCCTATGCTATCTTTTTCTAGCTCCAATAACGAAGCTTCTTCCACACTTTCCATTTCATCAAGTAATTTGCTCGCAATAATATCAGTGATCATTATTTTTTTCTGCCGCACTGGGTCCAAAAAGAAGAAGAATTTGCGAGTAGCCATGCACAAATAATAACCTTGATCATCATTCTGAAAAAAAAACAACATATTTCTTTCGAAATTATAATTTCAAAAAGCTTTTCTGATATGACTGAAGGTTAATAAAACAAAAAATCACTTCCAGATCATTAAGAGAAGGAATATTTGGTACCATCACTTCGCTGATATAATCAGATAAATCCTGTAATAAAACGTAAGATTCAAATTTCGAGCTCACATTCTAATTTTTGTACTAACTTCTAAATTAAATGAAAAAATTTCTAAAGAAAATGGGACTTTTCAGACAAGAACAATACTACCTCCGGCGTAAGATAACCCTTCCTCGATGAATCATAGTAACTTAAGCCTATCATTTTATTAATCCTATCTTTCTTCGTTCGCACAAAATTCGTAACAAGATCGATAGGTATTCTTCCATATACATCTTTTTTGTTCGCAATATGTAAATCCAAGAATAATTTTACAGAAACTAAACGACGAATTGCAGCATTACATGACGCAACGCATGCCTAAAATAAAATGAATATTTTCAAATAATGTATACCGTAGATGACTGATACTGATACTGATTTTAATAAACAAAGAAAGATATATTTAAAGAGGCAAGAAAGTTTGTACTTTAAAATGCTCTCTGTCTTAACCATCCACCAAAATATTAAAATATCTTCATACTAAAAAATAAAAGAATGAACGAAGAACAAAGAACTGTAAAAATTAAATTAAACATGAAATAACCTGATATCCAAAGTAACCGATCAGTTTAAAACCATCTTCTGATGAGGAACAAGAATGTTTTTCTAACATTCCATGAAAAACCTCAAAAATATTTCAGAAATTTAACAAAAAAAGCAAAACCAAATAGCGAGAATGAAAAATAATGATTAAAGCATAATCTCAGGAAGTTTCAAAGAATTTTTGCTTAATATTCGATTGTTTCAGTTCTGTATCGACTGTCAATAGTCAACATTGGAACATATATGGATAAGACAAAGTGATTAGAGTTTAGTAATCGGAAAGGTTATTTTAATATGCCTTTAGGGTAAAAATAAATTTGATGGATAAAAACAAAACCCCTTCTAGACAGTGTTGTTACCCAAAAAAATGTATGCTATATAAGTGCTTCGTCTGAAAGAATTGTAAATATTTACAAATATTTCAGCAAGCGATGTTAACCCTATAGAGATGAAAGTAAATTCTTTGGCATTGATGATAATCGAGAAATTAACAGAAAATAACTATATTTATAAACCGTTAAGTTTCACTTCAGCAAATGCATAGGAAATATATCCACTTATAAGTTGTGGGAAAAAATTCAATTTCGCAAATTCCGAAAGCAATCATCATTTTCTTAAGATCCCCAGCACCATCTGGACTTTAGCGTTACTCTCGTCAGGAGGCCAAGGACCGAGCCGACGATGTTTGATCAAAGTAACATTATTTGACATACTATTTTCGTAAGTCACACCTAATAACTTACAAATATTAGGAAAAAAAGAAAAAAAGAAAAAGATACAAAAGGAATCGAAATAAAATACCAATAATCATCGTCAGCGCATTCCCCATTGTCCACATCATTAATTCAACATGGACTTGTTCTTGGCAGAAGCAAATTGATTCTACTATTAACCTGAGTGGTGTAAAGGATCGAACTATATTTTTATTCAAAAGTGACGCCTTGCAAAACTTCGTATCCTAGCAATAACCAGAGAAAAGAAATGGCGCTATACACTTTTAAATCTCCTTTCAAGAGTACATGGAGACAAATCCTAATAGATCTGTGGTTCTACGAAATAATCAAATAATAAATTCAAATAAGTATCCTTTGCAATCAACCAGCTAACAAGAAGAAAAGCGTAATCTTTCAGGATAACAGTGGTAAGATGATAAACCAGATCTGATATCGCTTTGATCACTTTAAAAAAATTCTTCTAACTGGGCTGTACAATTTCCATTTATTTTATTCATTAAATATCGGAACTTGTGACCCTCATTTCTCCTTCGCAAAACTTTACATTTCAATTCAATTCGAAATTTAAAGCACCAATGTCGCAAGCAGATTTTCCTAAGATATAACGCACGAAAAATAAGAATGGAACTTTTCTTCGAAATTCCCTTAAAAAATTTTGGCATAAACTTGAATCATAGAATACTTCAAACTTAAAAAATCTGGAAAAATAAGCTACCATAATATCTTCATCAGTTGGCAGCTTTTGCAGTTCTTCACGGAAAAAACGATTACGTGCCTGACATTCCAATTTGATCCTTAATCGATGATCTGCACTTTCGTAATTCACAGTGGCCGACGGGATATTCCGTAGGAATGTACACTAAAATTATTTCTACTAACAGTTAGAATCAAGAACCACTGCTAATTAAAAAATAACACTTACATCAGCCGTATGATAATGTTTAATGAAAGCATCGATTTCGGATTCACTCAAGTTCAAGTCTTTGATTACTGACGCCATAACTAAAATTTCCAAAAATATTTTTTCAAGCCAATAGTTTCAATTCAACCAAGAATATGTTGTTCTTTTAGATGGCAAACTGATTAATTTCTCCAGTCGAATTAATATTCATATATTATAAATGCTTTGACAATAACTCAAAACACAGAAATCTCTTATAAATCTTTATTATCAAATTTCTTTACTGAAACATTATACAATAAACATTTATGTTGTTCTTAGTCCAAGTGTATAATTCAAGAAAGAAAGTGATTTCTTCTGATTTATCCATCTGTTATTTTTTGCTGCAAAATCATAAGGATCAGGACAAAAATTGTTTCGATTCAACTAAAAAGGCCAAAAGGGAATCAATGTTCCTTCGAAGATTCTCGTGTTATTAAAGAACATATACTAATGAAATTCGAGCATCGGTGAAACAATCCCACAATTTGGTCCTAAAGGCCTGTTTGAAAGGTGCTTTATTGGGTCTCCACCAAATATAGCATCAAAAAAGCGTCGTTCGCCTTGTGGAATACCAAGTCTTCAAAGAAATAAAAATTAAAAAAAATGAAAAAAAATTATTAAATTTCCTCTTCTTTGGCTCTCATTTTTTTAGCAAAAATTATTATTCAAAAAATGAAATAAAACTTAACCATAAGTAACGTCATTTTTCAATTATTATTAATTCAATTATTAATATAAAGCCATAAACAAATCAATGAGCTAAAATATTTTGAAAAATTTATGTAATCTAACTTTAAAGTTGAATCTAATTCAAAATTGCCATTTTTTAGCTTAAAACAAGTTTCAAAAAAGATTTTAAAATTTTCAACAAATCACAAACAAATTTCCGATTTCTAACCTGGACAGCGATCGATCAGCAAATTCAGGAATAAAAGGCTGCAGCAAAATATTGCTTATTCGAAGAGCTTCATAAACTAGGAAAAGCAAAGTTTCAATCTGGAAATAAATTCATCTAAAATTAAAGAAAAAAAAATGTATAATATATAATAACTGTATAATGTATGATATATAATATATATAATATATATATATATATATAAAAATGTATAATAACTGTATAATGTATAATATATATATAATATATATCTTTCCATTTATCTCCCCCTATGGGTAGGGGGATCATGATCATCCTCTAGTAGAGGCCTGGGAGATTAAGATTTCTGTACAGTATCTTAGCCGTTCCTAACAGCGCTCTCTTCAGAATAGAGACACCTCTATTCCTGGAATCTGCTGAATGACTAATAGGCTACCACCAGAACACATAGCAGAAATATAGGTTATCTACAAGTATCCAACAATTACATGGTAACCACAACAAGGAAGACTGCAACAAGTATCACAAAAGCGAAAGCTTAAAACAAATCTTGAAGGACCAGCACAACGGGAAAAACAAAATCTATGCCATAAATATGCACAGCATGCCAGTCATCAGGTAAGCAACTAGCATTGTAAGATGGACAAAAGAGACAAAGAAAGAAAGGAGCTTGCTGATGTAAAAATCAAGAAACTCCTCACAATACATAGAAATTTCCATTCCAAGTCCAAGTGCACACCAACCAGAAAAAAGGACTTAATGGGTACGAAAGCTACTATCTTAAATGAAACTCGAAGCATCCAGAAATATATCAGGATGGCACCAAAGGATGAATTAATGAGAAAATGTACAGACAGTGGAAAAATACCATGACAAAGCGAGGGTTGCACCATCAACTGAAGTAACTGACATTGTGAAATCCTACCAATGGTTGGAGTAAGTCGTAATAAAAAGAAACACTGAGGTATTGATTATAGCAGCACAGCAGCAAGCGTCAGATCCATCAAAACAAGAATCCACTCGACTAGAAAAGATTCTAAATACTGTGCAAAAACAGAACAACACATAGTGGCAGCATGTAAAATGTAAGATCGAATAATATATATTGAAAGTAGCTAGCATCTACTCTGCATATGGTTGAGATTTTCCCAAGACCAAATGGGAGATTCATTAGAAAATCATAGAGAATAAAGTGAAGATCTTATGGGATTTCCCAATCCAAACAAACAAACAAGTACTGGCCAATCAGCCAGTTATCGTGGTAATAGACAAGAATTCGAAACCAGAAATCTGTTAATTGATATAGTAATATCAAATAATATAAAAATTAAGAATATGAGAAGTTAGAGAAAAACCAAAGGCTGAAAGAGGAACTAGAGAAAATATGGAAAATAAAGGCCAAAACGATTCCAGTGGCAACTGAAACACTTGGAACCACGACTCCTAAGCTAGAAAAATGGGTTCCAGAAACTATACCGGAAATATCTATACAGAAGAGCGTAATATTAGGATCAGCTAAGATGCTGCGGACTTTCATTCTCCAAGATCTCTGCACAGGACCAGAAGTGGGGATGACCCGCCGACAGGGGGATGAGAAATATTTTCTCTATATTTTTATATTAAATTATATATTATATTATATTATATTTATATTATATTATATTTTTTCTTGTTATTTTCTACTTTATCTTTCATCTCTCCTTAATTTTTTTCCTTCTTTTATCTTTATCTTTAATAGCTGTAATTATATCCCCAAGTGACTCTATGGTGAAAGGATCAAATCTTTAGTCGTTTCCTAACATGGTCCGCGTCCTCTGATGACCACAATAGTCGCAACCCTGTGGTATGCGATTATTATATAATCCGATCGTAGTCAAACAACCTCAAGGTATGATCTGCTAGCGAGTCAGGATAATTACTCGAAATCTGTTAAGGGAAACGACTCTCAACGCGGTGACGAAGAATTAACCGTAGCAGCGTGGAATGTCAAAAAGGATGATAGAAAGCAAGCAACCACTATCCAGCACGCTGACCACTTAATCCAAATATCGTGTGGATATCGCCTCCTTGTCGGAGGTCCGCATTCTTCATTTCGGATCTAATGCAATTATTAAATCTGGCTCTGAGCATGGAGTACTATCTAAACTATATCACTGTGATGTTTCGGACAACTCGGTTTAGATCCTTTTGTGCTCCAGCGTCAAATAATAATATCGTTTTCATACACTGGGAACATGAATCTGGATTTTGAATTTTAGCCTCACAAAACATCAGTAATGATATTTTGTTTTCCATGTTCATTTTCGTTTACAATCTGTGATTGTATGTGGTTGAGAAAATGACGCAGGTTGACCACTATATGCTCTACGTATATTTCAAAGTTCTGTAATATTTCGGTTTCTAAGCTTCTACTTTTTGCACAGATGATAGCATAAGTTCTATGCGGAATCCCAACTGCTGACAAGATTTCTATTCAAAATTTCCGAAAACGGCATGGTTATAATCGGAGGAGAATAGGATTCCCGCGTAGGACACAATTCCACAACGATAAATCTGGTAAATATGGAACCGAGGTCCAGTGCACCAATGGAGAACGTCTCTCTGATGACGGATATACTGGTATGCTTCCGGCATCAGAGATGACATCTAGTCACTTGGGATCCCTCGAACAACCAACACTCCAACTAGACCGATCATATCTTATTCAGTCGCTGTTGAAAGAGATTGAAAGAGATATTTATATTAGATACCTATTTCTCGGGGAATTAAAAATGGTAATCTTCATGGATAAGGCCATGCTATAGTTTGAACCAAGTATGCGATCTAGGCATAGTAAACGACCTCAAGTCTTAAGAATATGATTCACATAAAACTGACAATTCGCAATGAATAATGTCGCCCAAGATTTCTCAACTATCTAAAAGATTCGGAGGTAATAAGCGCATTTCAAACCGATTTATTGAAATACCTCAGAGAAAGGCATATCAATGATATATCTGGAATTGCAGATAAACACTGGTCCCAACAAATGTATATCTTTGAAAGTTAGCACTTCTATACTACTATATACTAATAAAATGCGTTAGTTGGAAATCAGTTGGAAATGTCCCACTGATTTAAAAAGTTGCCAAAGTATAAATTTCAAGAGATCTTGACTATCGGCTGTTTAGAAGAATAATAAGAACAAAAACTCGACGGAACAGAAATCGCTACTGGAACAATATGGCCTTGACAATTGAGAAGCGACTCGATTAAGCGATAATAGGAAACTATTCCGCCTTTTTCATAAAGCGACTTCTTCTAACAGCTCTTATTACTGGTTAGGCTGGCTCCAACAGCTACAAGGGTAAGACGCTTCCAAGCGGCGCGTCTGATGCCATCGTCGACAGTAATAGAAGCTATTCCTTTTTTCATCGTCTAAGTCAATATGTTGCTGGTCCACCTATACATTCAAAATCTTTCCTGACCATATCAATCCAAGTCTTGGTTGACCCACATCGCTTTCGACGCCATCCATCATACGGTTTAGCAAATAACGAAATATGCGACAAGCGATGGACGACTGAGAACGTACTCTAACCAGCGAAGGCGACGCTCATAGCATTATTAGGTGCCTGAACGAAGGTGGATGCGATCATGTGATATTTTATCCGCTCAGTGGATCCATAAAATGTATGAATATTCAAAGGCTAATAGCTTCTCAATATCCTTCACTCTCGTTGGCCATATCTCAGAACCACATAGTAAGATCGAATGGATCACGGCAATATAGATGCGGACTTTCGTTTCTATGATGATTTCACGACGACTCCATAAAGGTTTCGTCAATCGGAAAAACACATTTCTAGCTGCCGTGATCCGAGTTGTAATACCATCTTTTGTCTGTCCATTTAATATTAGAGTGGACACAAGGTATTTGAAATCAGGCACATCAGGCACTTCTTCAACAAAATGAATTTACGAAAAAGAAGCATTTTATCAGCATCTCGCACATAAGACGAAAAGACTTTCGTTTTATTTACATTGAACCTGAGTTCGATTCTTGCTACAGTTTCTTATTTAGTATTACTTGTATTTCACTATAACTCAGCAAAAAGGACTACATCATTAGCGTATTCAAGATATATGATACGATGCTCAGGAGTGATTTGGACACCCTTTGAGTGCCGACAAGCAGTGTCCATTACCTAGTCTATCGCATAGATGAATATTGTAGGAGAAAGAATGCAGCCTTGACACAATTTTTATCTCGAAGGAATCTGTCAGTCCCCCATATATATAGACCTGCGCCGACGTACGCTCATAAAATGCTTTTATGAGTCGAATGATCTTCTCTGGAACATTCCATCACCCTCCAAAGCGCCAAGCTCCAAAGTTCTATCAATTGAATAAAAGGCAGTCGGAAAGTCGATGAAATACCTGACAATGGGTTGCTAATATTTGAAGCGATATTCCAACACCTTTCTTAATGTGAATAGGTCAGCACAACGGTGCCCTGGTCTGAAACCAGCTTGATTAGTGCGCATCCTGCTGTCTCGTACTTCCATGAGTCTGTTTAGTAGCAGGGAAGCAAAAATTTTTGCTGAGATGTCTATTAGGCTGATTCCTCGATAATTGTCTCAGTATATCCTATCACCTTTCTTGAGAATTGGGAGCAGAATTGCTTTGCTGCAATCATCTGGTAATATTTCTTTTTCGCATACTAGATAGTATATTTATTGAAGGTGCGTTATGAAGAACGATGGACACCACTTGAAAAGAAATGAAGAAAAAAAACTCAGCCCGAAGATTATCTTCTCCTGGAGTTTTAGTGGCCTTAAGCTTATGAATAACTGAAATTATTTCTTCTCCTGTTGAAGACTCGCAATTGCAAGCATAATGCTTCGGCAAACGTATCGGCTATATCTGGGGCAACAGATGGTGCTTCATGGTTAAGTTTGGCCTCAAAGAATTCTTTCCATCTTATGAGGCGATCCTTAATACTTTTGATCAGTACTGCCATTGCTGTCTCTTACCATTTCATTGATCGTTCCCCGAGTCATAGTTGCTTTGTAAAGAAGGCAGAATGAGGTGCATTGTAGTCTACGCGAACATTCCAGTCTCCCTCTATTATGATCATGTCATGTTTCCGTGGAGACTTTGTTAGTTTCCTACTGTCGCCTAATCGAGCCCCGCCTCCATTCTTGAGGCCATGTCACTCCAATAGTGATTTCTGTCCCGCCTTGCTGCTTTCGTTGCAAATCTTCGAAATACCCAGTAGTCAGGATCATCTGACATTCGTGCTTTGGCAACACCAAAGCACAATTGGATAGTTGCTTCCGATACCCAACTAGCGTACTTCCTACTAGTATGCCCTAGCTTGGAAGTGGCTGATTTTCGGAGACATTCCTTTAGCTTAGACTAGTATTCATTTGCCGTTCCAGAAAAATCACTGATATTTGCATCATTGAGATGCTTCAATAATTCGGTTTGAAATATGCTCACTGTCCCCGAATTTTTTAGTTTGAGGTAGTTGAAGGATCTTAAGGAATGTTGTTTTCTGCGAATTGTCAGTTTTATGCTGATCTTGGCTCGAACCACAACATGGGCAGATCCATGAAGATTGCCCGTTTCAGCACCACGGTAGGAACGGCTATCTAGTACGGAATTCTTCCAACGGCTGATATAATTAATCTGGTTGAAATGTTGGTTGTCCAGGAAGTTCCACGTGGCTAAATGTTTTCTATGATGCCGGAAGCAAGCATTAGTAATAAAAAATTCATGCTCTTCGGCATAACGAAGAAGACGTTCCCCATTGGCACACTGGTCTTCGATGCCATATTTGCCAATTGTTGAGGTGCATTGTAGTCTACGCGAACATTCCAGTCTCCCTTTATTATGATCATGTCATGTTTCCGTGGAAACTTTGTTAGCAGTTGAAGTTCCGCATAGAATTTATCTTTATCACGGTCATCTACCGACAGAGTTTGAGCGTAGACACTGATGACCGAGATATTCCAGAACTTTCCCTTAAAACAGACATACCATACGCCATACGGTCGTTTACCGATTTCCACTCAATCAAAGCGGAATGGGCCTTGTCAGACATAACAATCGCTACGCCATTTCGTCCCGAGTTATTCGAAGCACCACAGTGATATAGCCAGTATCTCTGCTCTGAACCAGGATTAATAAGGATTAATAAATGCTTAAGACCCAAAGTGAGGAAGTAATGCAAAAATAATGTTGAATAATGTGTCAACAATTGTAGCGAGAATTGGACTCAAAATCAATGTAAATAAAACAATAAATAAATAAAACAAATAAAACAAAGTATTTTCGTCTTAGACAAAATGCTGATAAAATACCTATTTTTATCAATTTATTACCGGTTGAGGAAGTGCTTCATTTTAAATATCTTGGATTCACTCTAATCCCAGACGGCCAAACGAAAGAAAAAATTACAACCTGAATAACTTGAAAAAGGCAATAATGCCTTTTCCCAGTTGACGAGACCTTTACGGATTCCTAGCGAAATCGCTATAAAGAAGGAATTAATTGAAAGCCCCTCTCCCCCCCTTACGATGGGGTGTTTTTGTATCTATTTTTTGGATTTGTTTTTTTTATTTTGAGGGTTATTTTTAAGTTTTTAAATGTTTTAGTGTTTATTTTTTTTTTGAGGATTGGTTTTTTAAGAGGTGCGTTTTGTATTGGGATTGGCGCCTATACAGCTAAGATTCGAGCGACCTTATTATATGCCCGATAATAGTGGATCGTGTTCGATAAAACGAGTGGATGAAAAATCTCACAAATCTCACAAAATCTCACATGATTGAATCCTTCGCTCAAATACCACTTGTAGTACCAGAATAGAGCATCACCTTCGCTGGTTAAGGCACACTTCACCAAACGAGTTGACATATATTTCATTATTCACTAAACTCTATGGATGGTGTCAAAAGCAAAGAGAGCCAATCAAGATCTGGATTGATATAGTAAAGAGCGTGAGCGTGTAGGTGAACCAGCAATATATGAATGAAAGAAGATGGAAGAAGGAATGGATTCTATACAACCGACGATGGCATCAAATCGAGCAACTTGGAAACATCTTACTCTTGTAGCAAGCAGAGCCAGCCTAACCTGCAAGGCTGAGAGCTGAAAAAAATAAAAGAGACCTAACATAATTACGCGTGGGTCCATTTTACAGATACTATTAATCTTAAATTTAAATTTGAAGCACATAACACAATAAAATAATCACTTCTGCTTATAATTAATAATTTAAAAGAGCAAAATTTCAAAATAATATGCTTTTCGATCTACTTACTTCTTCTGTTCGTTGGAGATGCCATGGTTCATATTTTTGAAAAATTCTGTTTGCATCACTCGCAACATCAATGATCGTTTCAAGTGCTTTATGGAAATTCAATTCTTCGACATGCTCACAACACTGTTCTCAATAAAGCGATAATTAAGCAACATGAGCAACATTTTCGAAATTACTGCAAATTCTTCAATAAAAATTTCTAAAATATTATACCATGCAACATATTTAGTTTCCTTATGAATATTAAACCATCTGTAAATTTGTATGCAAGAATCGCTTGATCAAATGAGGGATAGGCCTGCTTTGGATTCATCTTTTTAACAGTGGAACGTTGGAGTAAATTACCAATATTGTTGGAAAGATCACTCATCACAACGCGTTTTGCTGTTAAAATATCGAAATCTAAGAAAAAATGAAGAAAATTATAAAGAAATGAATAAATTAAGAAATAGACAATAAAAAAAGAAAAAGATAAGCAACTGTAAAACTTAAAACTAACTTGCTCGATCGTTTGGTGTACCTTGACGCAAAAGAAAATACCTAAGACCTTCAAAAGTAAGATCACCAGCAGCGGCTATAGGATCCACAACGTTTCCTAGACTTTTCGACATCTAAAAATGAAATAAAAATTCAGTAAAAATGATATTAGTTAAATAGAATAAAATTTCATTCCTTTATTTCCACATGAATGAATCGAAATAAATAAAAAATCGAAATAAAAAAACCAAAACCATAATAGAAAAGCGTAACTTAATATTATTAATAAGCCAATGACCATGAACGAATATTCGTTTTGGTAGGTCTAAATTTAGAGCCATTAGAACAGCAGGCCAGAGCTTTACATGAAATCTAAATCGCAGAATTTGAAAAACTTTATTTGAGAAACGAAAAATAAAATAAAATATGCACCAACGAATTCGCGCAGTAGAAATTCCTCGTAATTTTGGAATTGAAATAAGGTGAAAAATAAAATTTAACCGATTTTAATTAATATATATTAAATATTAATTAATATATCATTGAGGATGTCAAAACAGCGACATAACGGATAAATAGCCGATATAAGTAAATAATTTGATTGTAATTCCATTTTCTCATTTTCAATAAAGAAATAATTGGCTTATCGTAATTAAAATAATAAATGAATATTCTCTATTGAGCGTCGAGAAATTTAAAAAATGCTTCAAAAGTAGCTTCTAATTTCATCGTCGCTTGCGGGATTATAAATTATTGAATTCGCCACATAGAAAATCAATTAAGGGTTCTTCTAAGAAAATTTACATTGAAATTCAATCATTGGGTTTATCTTTATATAATCATTAGGATTTTATCCTATTAAGAATCAGAGAATACTGCATTCTCAACAATGTTCTAATTAGAGGAAATCGCTACTATTTTCCACATTATGCTAAAAAGCACATATTTCACCAATGGCTGGTGAAATTTTCATTCTAAATAGTTCGCCCCACTGCTAGTTTGACATGTTCGAATGGCGATTAATGTGAGAAAATTGCAAGTCTCCCGATCCGATGCCATTCCTGAAAGTGAATATGCCTTTTTCCACCATTTGAACTCGTATGTCGCCTGGCCACTTGTTCAAAATCTCCATTGGCTTGGTTGGTACCATCTCAAGTTTTGATAGGTCCTCCTCACTTTTGAAGCTATCCATCAAGGATTAACAAGAAGAAAGATGTGCATCAATTCGTGCTAAGCGACGAAGAACGTGGTCAAACCTGCATAGACGACACCTTGCGACAATAATTTTAATGCAGTTGCAGACAAGAACGATCAGAGGTAGATTTCCTTTTTTTCTAACTTTTCCTAACTTCCCAACTTTTATTTTCATTAATCAAATTTCGCAGCCGTATATATGATTTTCCTATAGCTAGATAGACACAAACGCCTACACAGACATACATAAATTAAAGCGAATCTAAAATAATTTTTCTTTAAAGTTTTAAAGATATTAAGTTTTTTTTTTCTTCTTAAAGCACTGATGATTAATATAGTTTATGATCTTAGAAAGCGTTTGGTACATAAGATGGAAAGGATTTTCTCTTATTTACAGAGATTTGAAAGTCAATTTTCGCTGCTGTTATTGGCAACGGGCCTAACATACGTTACAATTTTTTTAACTATCAGCGAAAATGATAACAACACCAGCCTATTCAAGATCCGTATATATACTATGCTTTGAATTGATTTATATACTTCTCGAATGCTGTAAGTGGTGTTTGGCCCGCATGGTGCCATAACCCAATCCATGGAGACAGCTGGAACATTACGACGTTCAAAATGGACGATATAATCAAAATTAGGTATATCCATATGTTTTTCATGGAGTAGTAGGAAAGATAAGACAATTTTGACGCTCATCAATTTATCAAGGTAAAAGCCATAAACATAAATCTATGGTGATTTAAAACACTTTAATAAGAATTTGTGATAGGACTTGATAAAACCGACCTTTTCTTTAGAAAAAAATCGTGATCCGATTAAATCTAATTCGTCTAATGCCATGCCCTTACCAATTTTATCAGCAAAACATCTGACTGGATTGTCGTATGACTTCGTTCATTCCATAAATTTTCAATAGCCAAGTTATAAAGCTAGATTTGCAACAGATTGCTTTGGCTGCCTTTAGACTAGAATAGCTCTAATTGGCAGTAATCGTATGAAAGTACATTACTTGATACATTGTATTAAAATTATTACATTGTTTCGATTGACAAATGAAGTAATTTTCAAATATTTTCAAACCATTGTTAGAAGACAACCATTAAAACCAAAAGACAACCATTATACATCTGTTACATATTTCCATACTTCCATTTGCATTTTAGATTAATTTCAATCCTTGCTTAAGAAGTTTCACTTCAACAATCAAGATTCAATGATCAAAACATTTCATTTATTCCTTAATGAACTGTTTTATTTTCATTCCTACATCTGATGTAAAGGGTAAAATAAAACAGTAACAGAATAACTGGCTTTAAACATTTAGACGAACGTTTTCTTTAAATAAAAGCTGAGGAAAAAGGAAAAATTAATTTTTATAAAATTTGAATAGAATATTTGAATAGAATAAGGGTAAAAACAGAATATTAAAAATTATAAGATATATTACGCAGAATCGCGGTAAAATTATATTAGTAAAAAATAATCAAAAACTTTTCAAAAATAGTTCTTTTCAAAAAGCAACCTCAAAATATCCTTCCCAATAAACTGACATGATGGTGGCCAATATATATTTTTTTTGTTTGGAAAACCAGTAACAGATAAATAGCTAATCAATGCGTCTAACCAAACGTAAATCTAAAATGAAACCAGAATAATGAAAGGAATTAAAAAAAGGAACAAAATAGAATTTATAATAATAAAAACAAATAATTACTTCATAAAAAATATTACATTTTGACTATCATCGTCAGGAACACCGATTCCCCAAAGAACACGATTGCTATCTCTTGATACCGAAACTTCATTAACCTCGTTCAGACAAAGCAGGGCAGGATGCACATAATTTTTAGGATAGATGGTACCTGCAACAAATAAAATTACCTAAATTTGAAATGGAGAAAAACAGAAATATAAAATATAAAAATAAAAAATGATTACCGTCTCGCATCAACCATTTTTTTATTGGTTCGAGAAACTGTGATAAAGTGAAAACATAATTTTCTTCCTGAACCCATTCAACGGGCGATCGAGTTATTTTTGATATCTGAAATAAACTCTTAATCTGACGAAAATTCTCGTAAAATTCTTGCAAAAAATAGTCTAAAAATTCTTGAAAATTTACTTTTGAAGAGTTGTTATTATTTATCAGTTCCTCTACGTCTTCTTCATTATAAAAGCATTCATCGATAATCGAATACCACCCTTGATGGATTTTTTTCGACAGCAAACCATTTTTCTTCAGTTCATTCTGTAAATATTAGTAATTATAAAACGTTCACTGTTGCTAAGTGAAAAAAAATTAACATTCTTGAATTAATGAAATATAATAAAATTTTTGTAGTTAAGAACATTATTCTTGCTTATATGTAAAATAAAAAATGAGAAAATAAATGAATGCTTAAATTCAATAAAAACTTGCCCAAACATACTGAACAGCTAACTGATGCGTTTTATCAGTAGTTCGAACAAAATTCGTGGGATGAATATTGAAACGATCAAGAAGATCCACAAAAGTCTTGCTAATGCGATCGCAGTATGATTTCACATCCACATTTGCATTTTTGGCAGCTTTATATACCTGTAATTAAACTTGATAAATAAATCATACTAAAAAAATAAATTTAATCTATAATTAATCTAAATGAAAGATGGAAACATGCTTTTATAAAATAGAAAGAGGGAACCTTGGTTCCATGCTCATCAGTTCCACTTACAAACAGGCAAGTGCCTCCACATTCAAAAAGATTCCAACGATATGATGCATCAGCTATTAAAGCAGTGTAAAGATGACCAAGATGAGGTGCTGCAAAAATATTTATCGAAATCATTCTTGTCTAAATGAATAAAAGAAGTGGCAGTTTTAAGGCATTTGAGCATTCAGAATATTCTACTGGTTGCTTTGCTAATAAAAGACTACTTGACTAACATACGAGCATTTACGTAGAAAATAGGCGTTGTAACGAAAAAATGCCGCATTCTTCTCGATATGAACGTTAAAAATCTATGATAAATATACATCTCATAATTCCCTTCGTATATAACAAAAAAAACGTCGTCAAAGAATAGAGAGATAAATAGAGAAAGCAAATAAGAACCTGAAAAAGCGAAACAAATGTAGAAAACTTATACTTATACTTATACTTTCTATAACGAGATTCATTAATTTACAAAAAAAAGAAAATATACTTATTTTTGAATTAATGACAAAGTATCCGATGTAAATCTTCCAATAAAGAACAACAAACTTCAAATTCAAACTTAGCTGATGAAAACAGTTCAAGGAACTAGCAATTATTCATCAATCATGCAGTCTTTTTATTTTTTAAGTTTGTCTTTCTTCATTTTCAATTTCATTTTTCCCTCAATTTTTTTCGTTATTTTTATCTTTGACATAAGTAAACCTATCATTACATACAAAATCCGAGGATCCACCTGTAACTATGGTAAAAAGGCTAGATTTTTTTGATATGGCATTCGCTCAGCCCCATGGTGATAAGTATGTATAAACATGTGATATAAACATGTGATAAGTATGCGATCCGGACTTTGAAAACGACCTCAAGCCTTGAGAAGTGCTAGGAAGCCAGGACAATCGTTCGAATCCAATCAAGAGAAATGGCTCTCTGCACAACAGGGGAAGTCTATAATAGCGAGCAACGACATAACGTTTATGGGCTCTGGAAGTCAAGCAATCACTATCCATCACGCTGACCAATTAATCTAAATATCGCCTCCTTGTCGGAGGTCCGCATTCTTCATTTCGAGTCTAATGCAATTAACTCTGTTTTAATGCAATTAAACAATTATTAAATCTGGCTACACGGAGTACTAAACTATATCACTGTGGTGTTTCGGACAACTCGGGGTTTAGATCCTTTCGTGCTCCAGCGTCAAATAATAATATCGTTTTCATACACTGGGAACATGGATCTGGATTTTGAATTTTAACCTCGCAAAACATCAATAATAATATTTTGTTCTCCATGTTGTTCGTTTTCGTTCTATACTCTGTGATTTTATGTTGTGGTTGAGAAAATGACGCAGGTTGACCACTATATACCTGCTTTACGTATATTTCAAAGGAAAGTTCTGTAATATTTCAGTCATCAGTTTCTATGCTTCTACTTTTTGCACAGATGATAGCATAAATTCTATGCGGAATCACAACTGCTGACAAGATTTCTATTCAAAATTTTCGAAAACGGCATGGTTATAATCGGAGGAGAATAGGATTCCCGCGTCGGACACAATTCCACAACGATAAACCTGGAAAATATGGAACCGAGGTCCAGTGCATCAATGGAGAACGTCTCTCTGATGACGGATATACTGGTATGCTTCCTGCATCAGAGATGACATCTAGTCACTTGGGATCCCTCGGACAACCAACACTCCAACTAGACCGATCATATCTTATTCAGTCGCTGTTGAGAGATTGAAAGAGATATTTATAATAGATACCTATAATAGATATCGGAGAATTAAAAATGGTAATCTTACAACGCCTATTTTTTACGTAATGGTAATAATGCTAAACAATGTGTCAACAACTGCAGCGGGAATCGTACTCAGAATCAAAGTAAAACGAAAATATATTTTCGTCTTATATATAAGCAGATAAAATATTTACATCAGTTCGTTGCCCGATTTTAAATATCTTGGATCCACTCTAATCCGAAATGGCTAAGCATAGAAATGCCTTCTTCTAGCTGACGAAGCCTTTACACAACCATTCGGGAAATCACCATAAACAAAAGATAGCGCCCATATATTTTCAATTCGCTCAAAGAGCTCGATTTTGCTTATAGCTGCGACAAATCGCGAATGAAAGTGAAGGATATCAATAAGCCTTTGGCCACTACGATAGATTTTACGGGTTCGTCTAGTGGATAAATATGATCACACCATCCATTCCTGCTTAAATATCGCCTGCATTATTGCCATCACACCTTTTATCGGTTAGGGTTTTTTCTTCGTCGCCCACCACAGGAATTGACACATATTTCATTATTTCCTAAACACTATGATGGATGACGAAGAGCGTCAATCAAGACTTCAAGCAGATCAGCGATTTCTTTCAATAAAAGTGGAAATAGGAATGGCTTTTATTATTATTGGCGATGGCATCAAATCGAACAGCTTAGAAATATACCCAACTGAGCGAGCCTAACCAACAGTAGTCAGAACTATTAGAAGAAAAGCAATGCAGTAACAACTTGAAATTTTGGAAAACCATTTTCTAATTCTTAAAATGAAGTTGATTAACACATACGAATCTCAAAGTTTAAGTTGTTACATATTGAAAATTTATACAATCCGAACTCAGATGAATAAATGAAATAATAATTACTGCAAAGATCTATGCTTGGTATCCGAATACGAATGATGGCTTCCACCTATTTCGTCCAGAGAACGATGAAAGATATTGAATAATATGACCTCATACTCTTCCTTTCACCTTCGCAACAGTTTATTTTACCAACACTTAAACTCACACCTATAATCTTACAATCATTTCACATTTCTTTTATTTCACACTTCCCCACAATCTACTACTGCTTCCAATATATGGCAAGCAATATTCAACAAAGTCTATATCATTAATATTGCAAAAATAAATGTTAATCATATGTAACTGTTGAATTATATAATTAAAGTAGAAATGGATCTCCAATAAATCACCAAAACACCAAATGAGAAAATAAAAGTTTCATTCATTAATAAATTTCTGGTAAAAATAAGAAATAAAAATTAACAAATGTTATAGCGAATGAAATATTAAGATGCACTGATAAATGTGGAAAAATATTTATAGCAAGTATGAATGATATGATTAAATTACTGCCTTTAAACTCAAATATCTGTAATTTAGAAGAATAAAAAAAGAATGTGAACGAAATACAATCAAACGGAATCAAAGTTCTAGCTATAATCTTGAAGTGAATGCCACAAGCACCAACATTTTCCACTTCTGATAATCGAAACATAGGAATGCTAATGAGGATAAATTTGTAAATTTGTGATTTGTAAATTTCTGCTGTGAGGATATAAATTTGTAAAAAAGAAGCATCTAAGCTTTTACAAAATTATATGAAGCATATTTCAATAAATCCATCGCAACTGAAAAAATTTCCCACCGAAATTTGAGACAATATTATAGATTAATTCAATTTCTTCACTGTTCTTTGCGAATTTTTTGCGAAAAGTGAGAGAATTCCTCATAAGTCGGTAGAATCATCTTCATTTTTTTCAGTCCATTTCTTTTGTGTAAGTTCATAAACTCTGAACTTTTTCTTCATCAACAATATCGACTCGCTAAAATCAAACTAAAAAAAAATATATGCAAAAATATGTTGACTTAAGCAGGCCTCAAAAAAGGAAAAAAAATTTCCTCAGATCAGTTTTGGTAAGAACTATCAATTAAATGGAAATTTTCAATCGAAGAAATTTAAAACTGAATAGTTTAGCTGTGTTTGATTAAAGCAAACTAGAAAACAAAAAATTCACCTCCGCAAATTTCATGATATCGTGTGGTTGTGTTTACATTATAATTTAGCGAAGTTTTAAGAAAAAGAGTGAAAAACTCGGAATAACCTTGCAAACTTTAGCAGCATAGGTCTAGGCTTTAAGTCATCCAGGATTTTTGAAGATGGAATCAATAAAGGATCGTCAGGATTAAATGCCCTATGTTTGACTGCTTCACATATTCGCTGCAATTTGGGATTAGAAACATCACGTGGTCGCAAACTTTCTATGTATTCACCGCTATTACTACTGAAATTTTAAAAATTTTATTCTTAAATTAAATGCATGAATAAATCATCTTTTTTTATCACCTTAACAATAAAATCTATGAAGAAAATACAAAATAACATACATCTGATATTTTGTAAGATCCATTGAAGAAACAAAGGCTTCAACTACACACACTTGCTCATCTAAAAATTCTTATAATTTTTACCTAAAAGGAACAAGCACTCGCTGATTATACCACACCAAATATTATTATTTTATTTGTAAAGTTAAAGAAAGAAATTGAGAAATGTAAGAGCTGATAATGTCAGATAAATAGGAACATCGCATTAGAGGTAGAAAGAAAATGTATCGAATTATCCACAAGCTCTCATTTTATTCCTAACATAATTCTATATTACCGATATTATACATATATAAACTTACACATTTTGAATTTTCCCAAAATTCAAGAAAAAACTAAATATTAAAAATAATTTAGAAATAAAAAATACAATCTGAAACCAACAAGTAGGTTTAAACTGTTCTTCCTCAAATGATGGAAATTCTAATCCGCGAAAATCGTCATAAAAAGGCAAAGCGATTCCAACGAATATCTGCAAAATTCAACAAAATTCTTTCGATGTTTTCCGTAAAAATATTGTTAAAAATCAATAGAAAAACAAACTGGAGCCCCTTTCTTGCTTATTCTTGGGAATAACGCCATAATGCGTGGAAAAGATACTCCATTAAACACGAAACGAACTAAAGCCACTGATTCTTCAATTATCATCGCATTTACCAATGACGAAATCATTGTTGAGCCGTCCTGAATAAATTATGATATATATAAAAGAAAACCAAAAAAATAAATAAAAATAAACAAAGTGTTAAAGAAACCTCATCGTCGACGGGTGGCAAACAATAATACACTCCTCCATCCATCAGATAATGTTGCAATATCTAGAAGAATTAGTAGCTTAAGCAATGCAATTTCCTAAGCAATTAAACATATGTAGACACATTCAAATTTACTGCAAAAATATATGATTTTCAAGTGACTTCACTCCTGAAAACAAATTGCCCAACATGAATAAACTGGAATTCCTATTTACCCAAAAAAATGAATAGGTTATAGAAATGAATACATAAAAAATAGGTTATAGAAAAATGATCAAAATCACTTCCGATGATTTAACAAATTGCATGAGCTTCATAGATCGACTTTCTCGGGCCCACCCATATACTTTCTGATCCGCTTCATTAAAAGATATTACGGATGTTCCAAAGCAGTAACCTATTTAAATTTATTTGCATAATAAATTTTTTTAATTTTACTAAGAGAAAATTTCAAAAATTTCTACCAAAACATTCAGATTTTTAAATTTTGGTTTTGTTATAATAAATAGCTTTTGAAATACCTTTTACAGTTTCCTCTTTCTTCAGTTGTATAATTTTTTTGCTTTGTTGAAATTTCGCATCAACTTTTGAACTGGGTATGCAATCAGTATCAACGATTTTTTCAAAAATAGTTTCTTTTTTCAACTGAAAATTCCGATTTTTTTTGCAATTTTTGATTTCTTATTGAAAGTACGAACAGTTAAAAAACTTCTAACAATGAATAACAAATGCAGTAAATAACCGAATCATTTATCTTACTTTCACTTTCGTCGATTCGTCAAATTTTTCGAAATTGAATTTCATGTCCATCTCTTGAACCTTTTTAAATAAATACAATGGTAATTTAATATTCTCCCCCAGCTCCAATAAAAATTTTTGACCACGAATATTCGTTTGACGGCGAATAAACTTTTGCAACATAGGCAATACTTCCCTAAAAAAAATCGTATTTCATTTTTAAATATTAGATATTTCCAATTTCATATTCACATATAATCGCTCAAATATATATAATCTCTTCCATATAATATATACAAATAATTTACAACAAAGGCGTGGTCAATGAATTGAAAAATTCTAAAACCCTATTGAATCAAAATTCTTTAAATTACATATAAGCTGCGTATCAAGTTGTGACGTAGAAAGGCAGAAAAAATAGTTAGAAATGACACAACCAATAATAACAAATTTATAAATGATATACGTAAAAGAGTAGATGACTCCATTTACTTGTTGAACAATAGAAGAAACCAATTTTAAACCATTTTCAGTTTCATTCAAAACCATTTTGGATCCATCAGTTTCATTTTTCGTATATTCGCATTTGTAAAACTTCACTGGCGGACCACTGAAACTTTAAAAAAATGAAAATAATATAATTTAACAAAAAATTTTAAAAAGAACAAAAATAACATTTGACATTTTTTGAAAAAAATATGATATAAATGAAAATGCTTTTACACAACGTTCAAAGAAATTCCACAAGTTTTGATGCTATTAACGATATTCTCAATTCTCGCAGGATCAATTTCAGAAGAGCCGATAGGGTAACCTGCCAAGTTACTTATGAGCAAAAGATTTCGAGCTGTTAAATCAGTTTGGTCCAAATATGATAAGCATCTAATATAATTGACTGCTTCTGTGAGTGCAGAAATATCTTAAAATAAAATTTTAACAAACAAAAAAAGTACAATAAAATTTTTTAAAATCTGAATATTATATGATTATTGTTAAGCTGAATGAATGGAAAAAATTAAAATTATCACGAATTACAACTTACAATCCCCCTTTGTGTTAATACTGATTTGAATTTCTTTCTCGAATAATTTTAACCATTCAATTTTTGCAGTTTGCAGTTTTTCTATACAAAATCTAATATTCTTATCAGAAAAAACCGGAAACGATATACTATCACATTCACACCCAAACAACATTACAGCAAATTCATCAGACGATTTTGCAAAAATCTGAAATGAAATATATGAACCCATCATTATCATGATTACAGAAAAAAGAAACTAATTGAATCACCATTCGTAAATCGTCGAGAGAAAAAGAAATAATCTCCATAAGCTTAAGACCAATAAGAAGATGGAAGATGGGTTGAATTCTTGAAATGTTGCCCATCGTAACGCACCTTGTACTTTCTGGTATGGAAGATATTACCAGATGACCGCAGCAAAACAATTCTGCTCCCAATTCATAAGAAAAAAGATAGGACATACTGCGACAATTATCGAGGAATCAGCTTATTAGACATCTCGATGAAAATTTTTGCTTCCCTTTTACTCGATAGACTTATGGCAGTACGAGACAGCAGGATGAGCCCTAATCAAGCTGGATTCAGACAGGGGCGTGGTGTGCTGACCCCATATTCGCATTAAGAAGGATGTTAGAATGACGATTCAAATATCAGCAATGCACCGTCATATGCTTCATGCGTCATATGATTTTGCAAATGCTTTTCGATTCAATTGACAGAATTGATTCAATTAATTCAATTGACGGCGCTGTGGAGGGTGATAGAATGCGACGGTATTCCTGAAAAAATCATTCGACTCATAAAGGCCTTCATCATAACTATCAGCGTACGTGGGCGCAGGTTTGGGTATATGGGGAAATGACAGACTCCTTCGAAATAAGAAAGTATCACAGATCTTGAATACGCTGCTGATGTAGTCCTTTTTGCTGATAGTTATGATGAAATACAAATAATGCTAACAACGTGCGTCTGACGTGCTCTGTGATTCATATCTAAGGTACATTTTACGGGTTCACCGAGTGGATAAAATTTTATGATCGCATCCACCTTTGCTCAAATATCACTTGCATTAACAATATCATCACAGAGCGTCACTTTCGTTGATTAAGCATGTTCTTCGTCGTTCCACAGAAGTTAGCATTTTGTTACTTGCTAAACTTGCCTTTTGATAGATAAGCGTCAAAAACGAGGTAATCCAATCAAAGCCTGGACTGGTCAAGAAAGATTTTGAATTATAGGTGGACCAGCAATATATGGACTCAGACGATGGAAAAAGAAATAGCTTCTATTACTATTGACGATGGCTTCACATCCCGCAGCTTGGAATCGTCTTACTCTTGTAACCATTGGAGCCATCGTAATGGTGAGAGCTACTAGAAGAAGAAGAAATCGTCGATTAGCAATAAAAATAATTCATGGTAAAAATTTTGTTACTGCAATTTTCAATTGAAGGAGATTACGCAATCATTAATAAGCAAATTATTTGAATGAAAACAGAATTATTATACAGAATACAGAATTATTACTTTTCTTGTAATAATCCAATCCAGAATCTCTTTAGCGACATCAAGAAAAGAGGCATTAGAATCAGGACATACATCTGCCATGTTTGAACCAACATCTATCAAAAAAATGGTCCTTTCGTGTTTTAAAATTTTCTTAGCCATTTTCACAGGTTTTATCTCATCATCAGACATTACTCAATCTGTAAAAAAAATGGAAGAAGAATGGTCATATAACAATCAATTTAACATAAAATATCTTCGCGAATAGCAAATCTACTAATTTATCTCGTCTGCTTTAAAGAAAAAATAAATCAGGATGGAATAACCTGAACTGCATTATTGTGGCTATGGAAAACAATGTTTATTAAATATAAAGAAGCACAAAAACAATAAGGAATAAAAATGTCTCAATAGATTCCCTTAATAAAAATTTAGAAGATCGTTTCAACAAACTTTTTCGATTAAGTTATAATTATTTCATCGATCTCGCGTCAGTATCTGAATCAATGACCGATATTTCACGATGATCATATACTGGATGTCGTTCTTCAAGAAGACGCATAGCAAGCATATCAGTTTTAATTAAATTCTCAAGTTGTTTCATTTTCAAATCAGGATCAGAAATTTCTTCAGAATCCAGACATTTTCTGGTACTAATCATTTCGAATATAGAATTAGGATGTTCAAAATATTCCATCTAAATTAATACAGTTCAAATGCCAATAATTAATACTATTATCTTGATGGAGAAAAGAACAAACTTTAATATCTTTAAAACCAGCCGGTTCTAATGATAGTAAATAGAAAGCCGGATTAAATTGCTTTTCATTTATTATATTCCACTTGTGCAATTTCCGCAATCTGAAAATAATACCATCCTATTAAGTTGAACCCGTTAATTCCATACTATAAAAAAAATGAATAATATTATTAGTAATCTCGCCCAATTCAATGAAAAAACTCGCCCACCATCAAAAGCTGAAAACTAGGTTAAAGCAAAATTATAGAAGCATTTGATTTCTTTAGCAGAAAAAATTTATTTACCTACTTAACTGCAAAGCAGTCACTAAACTTCCACCAGGTTTAAGAACTCGACGAATCTCAATAAGAATATCGATCAATCGTGGTCCCCAAAAGTAATAGGAATCCACATGAAAGATACCATCAAAGAAATCATTAGGATATGGCAAATATCGAAGATCAACGACCTATATATATATATAAAGTTTAAATGTGTCAATTAATTATAAAATTAAAATAACAATTCGGGGGAAAAATATCAATTCAAAAACAATAGCACTTATTCGTAAAATAATTCCCTTAAAGCTAAAACTCCGTGGTAAAAAAAATTACTCGATCCAACCGAATAGTTTTTTCTTCACGAATTTCGAGAGCGAAACGATTAGCAGTGATACTTTCTAAGTAACGCGAAATTTCAGTGCCATAAACCATACCATTTCCATTCTTTATTTTGTCAAAGACAAATTTGATACCTCAAATATTATAAATAAATCAATAAATTAATATTAATTAGTAATAAATTAATAAGTAAATAAAAATTAAAGTTTTACCTCTCTACAAACAAATAAATATTACTTAACGAATAAATATTACTTAATATCATTCATCAATCATCACTTTTAGATTTGTATTCTATTCTGATAAATTAAAAAAAAAAAAACTATATAATCCGATAATTCACAAGAATTTTATTCCAGCATTGAATATCATCGCAGTTAATAAATGCATAACTTTTGTTTCGTTATCCTTATTCAGACCTTTCGCTTGTTTTTGGCATATTAATAAATGGGTTAGATAAATGGACTGCGATAGTCTGATTCAAAGCAAACCAACGATAATGGGAGATCACATGAAAATGAATGCTTGCAATTTCTCGGCACTTCTTTTCCCTTTTTTTTCTGTCATCTCATTCCCAAATTACAAATTATTTCCAATCTCTCACACCTAAAATAGGTATGGACCAAATGCTCCGAAGTAAGGATTATCAAACTTAGTAAATAGAAATAAACTAATTAATAGACCCAAATCTTAAATCTTAAAATGAGGAGAAAAGTAATATTTAAAAATATTACCATCTCCTCTTCCATAACCGATTTCTAAGACAATACTGTCACGATGAATACCCATCGCTTCAACAACTGCTTTCTTCAAAACACGATTTTTCTTGGCGTTTATACGCGACACGATAATTCCAGGACCAGATTTTGTTGGCAATGCAAACTAAATAAAATTGAGCAGTATTTATAAATTTTGCAAATTAAATATTTTCTTCCCGACCACCTAATAAGCTTATTGAAGGATGGAGACAAGACACTGCATTCCTCCGTGCTTTTTTGGTTTTTCCTCATCCGTTCCTCGTGTCCTCACCATAACCATGTCTCACACTCCTTATCAACGCTATCTGCCATCACCTCACAAAAATAATTCATTAATATTATGACGAAATAAACAGGGTGTAAAGAATTGGAAAACAATGAATATTCTAATTAATTCATTAAATGTTTAAATTAAATTCATCAAATATCAATTCATTAAATATTTAAATTAAATAATTAATAACTAAGAGAATTATGGTACTACCTGGGACGCTAAATCCTCAATAACAGGCGCCAAAATCTTCTTCAAGTAATATGCCATTGGCCCTTTGCTGAAACCTTCAGAACCTACGAACAGAAACGGAAAAATGAGATTAGACCGAATTATTTTAAATTTAAAATGCTATATGTCGGCTTTGTCTATGCTGGGAGACTGGACACAGAGAATCGTCTTGTTTATGCGGCACTGGTGCAGAGGTGACTGTGCTATTATGCAGCGGCGAGCCATCGTTGTGCGTGGAATCGATGCAAGCAAGGATGCGAATTCAGGAATATAAGGGAATAAAAGTTCGATGATAAAATATTGAGTAAATACAACATGAAAATGATGCGTCAAAGACAGGTTAGAAAAAATAACAGAATTTCAAGGAACACAAAGAGAAGGAAGCGTGCAAAGTGGTGGGGAAGAAGGACTAAGTGATAAGGGAACGAGGCAAGCAAATGACGAGAAATCGCAGATCGTGCGATGCAGAACGACGTCTCAAGCAGCCAAGTATGGAGCGGAGTGGGAAAAGTCTCAAATTTTCTGCGTTATGTAAGAAATTAGAAACGAAAGGAGGTAGAAACGAAAATATTCATAAAAAGATTTATTCATGAAAAATTTGTTTTCAAAAACAGATATCTCCGTGAGTGAGCCTTTTATACTTTATTTCCAAAACATTTGTCAAAACGTAAGGTGACTTCCACCCTGCTCGCTGTCTTGTTATATGGCTTCGAAGCTTAGCTGGCGAGGATGGAAGCTATCAGTCAATCACTAAGGAGCATTTGACTCTATCGCTGGAAGTACCTCCCATGATTTGTTAATTGAATAGTTGAAATTTTTACAATTTTTCCATCCTAGCAAAATTTAAAATTTAAAAGGAAAAGTTCAATGTTAACCACAGATTGAACGGTTGTTCAAATTTGCATAAGGTTCCACTTCCACCTATGGGTCTGAAATTTGAAAGTTATTTTGTTCGTCTCGACACAAAGATCATGGTGTCCCAGTTGATTACGTGAAATCCAAAATCGACAAGAAATTAGGACACCCTGCACTGCACAGAATTCAAATAAGTTCCAAACAAGCACAGCGAGATTGTTATCAGTGTTATGCTATTCTACGGAAGATAAAAGCAACAGAGGCAACTGTTAATTTTATGCTAAGTCTGAATTAACAGGAAGCGAAAGAAAATTTGAGAAAATGGCATCATTTTATTCTTAGCAAGCTTCGGTCATGTAAGCAATATAAATTTGCCTGGGCAGTTGCAAGCTTCCAAGCTTCTTTATCAAATTTATCAAACGTTTTGCATATTCCTCGCAGAAACGTTTAAGTATATAGATGTTAGCTCGCTAACAAAATTTTGCATTTATGCAAATATCTCTTCAGCGCCACTCTTCATACAATATTAAAGGCTCCGACTGCTTGACAAATCGGTGGTGTGCAAGCAGTTCAGACTCAAAGAACTCTCTCCAATTCACGACCTTTAGCATTCTTGACCGTATTCTTCCATTATCGGTTTTCATTTTACGTCTTACCTAAGGGTGACTATAGCAAATCTGCAGAACTGCCGACATTTATTATCTCCTTATATGCGCTCTGGCAGCACAGTCAGGCAATAAACATTGATGCCAAATTTCTTATTAAAAATTGAGAATTTTACTAAAGAATTGGAAATAATACATCCAAAATTATGGACCAGTGCTGAATCAATGGAAAAAACACCATTTTTCTAACAACATTGATCACAAAAACCTTGTATGGTTTTGCAAAATAAACGACGAAAAATTGAACGAACTTTTTATTTGAAGGGTCAAGCAAAACAAAAGCCAAGCCTTTATATATTTTGAGAATTAAGGATAATAAAAGTTATGCTTTTCCAATTTGCAATAATCAAAAAATTTTTTTTTGAAAATGTGTTTTGCGCTGGAAAAATATTTTATTAAATAAATTTTTTCCACGAATTTTACGAAGACAAAAAACAATAGAACAACAAAACGAAATCATTGCATTAAAGAAATAGATAAGATTAAATAAAATTTAATTTTCAGTTGACAATTTTAATGCTTCAAGTTCTTTCAACCAGCCGCATTCTTTTTCTATTTTCTGTAATTGGTTGGCTTCCAAAGTTTCGCCATTTAGCATCCTTTTTTTTAATTTCGCAATATCATCAATCTTCTTTCGCAAATTCATTATCTAAAATGAAAGATACTAATACACAATTAAAAACACAAAAAAATAGAAAATTTTAAATTTAACCTTCTTTTCTATTTCAGACTTCACTGCTTTCTGAGTTATAGCTGAATCTAAACCACCTTTGCCAATACCTCAAAATAAATGAATAATTTTCCATTTGGATAAAAAAAACATTAATTTAATTAATGATGTTTAATGATTAATGAATGATTAGTGATTAATCATGCTAATAATTTCAATTCATTTTTATAAATAAAGCAGCTATATATACAAAACCTTTTTAATAACTGAAAAAAACTTAGTTACCAAAAACCAAACTTTAGAAATTGCAGTTACAATCAATAATTGAATATATTTCAATGATTTTCAATTAACATACCTCTCTTGCGCAGATGAGGCGGCACATATGCGCTAATTTTGGAAATAGAACCAGCAGGTAAATTATTTGCTGGATGACTTTCATCAGCATTTTTTGATCGGAAGATTAAACCAGCTTTAGCTTTGTCATCGCTTGTTAAAGTGGGTAATGGAAAAGGGTGATAAATTCCATCACTTACCGGCCTCCACTGAACCTAAAATTTTTCATGTTAAAATCCTTAATTTATAGCTGTTGCAATAAAAAACGGTTTTGATACCTGAAAAAGTTCAACAGTTTCTTTGCATAAGAACTCATATATGAGCTTTCCAGTAAAATGCCATATTCGATAACAATTATCCATACGTAACCGAGGAGCGGTCGTAGCCGTAATTACAAGCTGACCATCTGGAGCCCATTCCAGGAAAGTAGTATTTGGTACTTGAATCTAAATATTATATTTTATTGCTCATAAATTGATGAATTTTGGAAATTAAGGCTCATTAAGGTGATTACAACTTTAAATAAGATAAGGATTTACTTTAATGATTTCCTTCCGACCTCCAACATCCCAAAACTCCATATTACCAGATGCAATATTACCAAATCCACAAACAATTAAAATATTTCCAAAGCGATTATAATATAGATCATTTCGAGGACCTTCACCCATATCGAAAACACACTCACCTTTTACATTATAGAAAGATACCTGAATCAAAAAAATCTGAATCAATATCCCATTTCATAGCAGTAAAAAATATTTAAATTATCTGCAATATAGAAACAGCTGCGATCGAAATTTTTAAAAAAAAACTCTAAAAACGAAATGATGAGACTAAAACAATGAATTTTATTGTATTTGTTTATCTACAGCCTTCTTTTTCTACCAATTTTTTTTGCCTTAAATCGTTACGAGCCTTCTTTTAAATCCCCACAATGACTAAGCTATACCTTCTTGTAATTAGCTGAGATCTGTAGTAATCCTCAAGACCCTTGAAATTATCTTGTCAGTGTAGCCATACTCCACTAGGAGGTACCTATAACTGTTGCAATAAATTTCATCCCAGTCCTTTAGATACTATTACAGAACTTCCCTTATTCTCAAAATTTCTCTTATCTTTTTTAATAAAAATCAAAATGCACCATATTCTGCCATTAAAGATAATGCTCCCTTAAATTTCCTTATGCTATATGCTCGTATAAATTCCTCTATGGTGCCCGCGAAGCAGAAAATTATCAGAAAAAAGGAATGGGGAAAGGTTTATGTACCAATTTACCGCACAACAAGAATTTTGATTAGCAATGCTAAATCATTATTAAAAGCAGCTAATTTCTGCTGTCTTCCCTATGTCCAAAAGCGCTTTTAACGGAAGGAACTTAAGAGATAAGAGATAAGCGGAGGCATTTTTATAATTTTATAAATCAATACAAGAAATACTATTAATATATGGATTTTGCAATTATAAAACAATTATTATTATTATAATTAAATGTGATTTAATATTGACATTATGATAACTGTGATATTACTAAAGCAGAATTCTGCATTCTAAGTGACAATGGGCTTGTAGAGGAATAATTTAAAGAAACAACGAAATCACCAGTTTTTCATGTGTTTTCATGTAGTACCCTATAATACTACTAAATCTCTTTTGTTATAGCCTATTAATAACCATTAAAAAATTATTTTATATTACTGTTGACAATATTTCGACTAAAATCACTTATTATTCCTCACTCAAACTTCGCTTCATTAACATATTCATATCCATATTACCCCTAAAATCCAGCTGTATTCTTTTACCATAATCCATTATTAATATTATCGTAGACCTCTTTCAGCCAATTTAACTCCCTTGGATCCAACTGTAATTTCTTAGTACCACTATCTCCACTTTCTTCTCCCAACGCCCCGCAATATTAAATGACATCTTTTGTACTCACAACTATAAATTATAAAATTGTACTGTAAGGGGGATATCGGAGAACTCGATACTGAAAAATATTAGGGAGAAAATTATGAAGATTTCTTGGATAAAAACAATGCAAGAGTTAGAAGGTATGAAAAGGAAGGAAATATGAAATATGAATTTTAACGAGATATCCAGTGATTTAAAAAAATTCCACCCGTGTGGCATGTTACTTAATAAAAATAGAATGCCATTTTATTTAGGGATAAAAAAATACCCGTGCTGGCATAAAACCATAACAAACTGCAAATTCCTTCCCATTAGGATTCCATTTCACACAGTAAATAGGCCCTTGTTTAGATAAAGTTACCATACAACTTTCACCATTAATAGACATTAAATAAAGAATTTGTTCGCCATAGTAGCTTTTATTTGACTGATCCACATCCACTATAGCTAAGGCAATTAGCGCAGTTCCTGAAGCTCGAATATGAAATTTATTTTAAAATTTTGATTTGTTCCAAAAGTCTGAAAAAATTTGAAAAACATCACTATGAAATGCTACTAGAAATGAAAGCAGATCACAATTTTAAAGGAAATAAAAAGTGGCCAGCTCAATATAAAATAAAATATATGCCATATTTTCTGGTGTTTATGGTGAAACATACTAGAAATAAATTATGATTTTTCGGTACAAAACAATTAATGATTCACCTTTACAATTCCACAGCAAATTTGCTCTATCACATTTAAAGATTGTTTTACTGGCCACGACAGTGAAATTGTTATCCAATCTGAAAAAATCTATATAATAATTTGCTATAATTCGCAGAAGTCCAGGAAATCTCTCAAGATCCGCCATATTCGTGTAAATTTCTGTTAAATTCCCTCCCAATCTCAATATTCTCAATAATTCCCTTGCTTTCTTTTTTTTCTCCTTTCCCAATCTGCAATTACAAACTGCAAAAGATGGTGTCACGATAAGATAGCATCATGAGAGTATATCGAAAAAGCCACAGTGATAACTGGAGATTAAGAGAAAATTATGGAGACGGATGTGGAAAAATAAAATTCGATTGAATATTTAAAAAAGATGGATTTTGAGATGTCAAAAACAAATTAAGATGTAAAGTGGTAGCAGTCATATCTGAAAAACCTCGGTCCATTCCGATTAAGTGGAAGCTGGTAAATGCTGGTAAACGTATGGCTTACGCTCGCTTCGAAAGAAAGTACCTGTCATCAATGCATGGGCTCCAACTTTGTATGCAGATGACTGTGATGAAAATAAGTTCTATAACTTCGATTTATCATCTCTATCGAAAGGTGACATAACCATAATTGTTGTGGGGAGTGGGACGCATGCGTTAATCATGATAACACCATGGTGGACTCGGTAATTGGTAAATATATCATCGAGGTCCAATGCGTCAATGGAGAACGCCTTCTTTAATTTGCTGAAGAACTTTTTGTTAACTTCTGGAATCGGAAACGTCTAGTGAAGTGGAACTCTTCGGATAATCAATATTCAAATCAAATTGATTATAATCTTAGCAAGTCGCCGTGGGCAGAGTTTTGTGCTACATTAGTCGTTCCTATCGCGGCAGTGAAACTGGCAACTGTCATGGATGAAACCACGTTATAGTTTGAGCTAAAATTCACATTTCAAAATTTTTCAATTATCTTGAAAGATTTGGAGAAATGGATAGGGATAGTGACATCTCTGGAACCATATGTTTGTAACATAATCGTCAGCAACATGGAAAATAATTTTTCATCCAGAAGCTTGATGCACTGCTTGTCAGCATTCAAGAGGTGCAAATCAGTCCTGAGCATAGCATCATTGACTTTGAATACGCTGATAATGTAGTCCTCTTTGCTGATAGTTATAAGGAAATGTAAATAATATTAAATAATGTGTTAATAACTGCAACGAGAACTGGATTCAAAATCAATGTAAATAAAACGAAAGTGTTTTCGTCTTATATCCAAAATGCTGATAAAATATCTATTTTTATCAATTCATTACTAGTTTAAGAAGTGCTCGACCTTAAACACCTTGGATCCACTCTAATCTCAAATGTCCAGGCAAAGGATGAAATGGTAACCAGGATAACGACAGTTAGAAATGAGCTTTTCCTGTTGATGAAAGCTTTATGGAATTATCCCACCATAAAGAAGAAAATCGGGGTCCATATAGTGCAATTCATTCGATTTTGGTATATAGCTGCGAAACAAGACCAATGGGAGTGAAAGATATTAAGAACCACTTTGACCACTCATGCCTAAGATACATTTTACGAATCCATCGAGCTGATAAAATATCAGATGATCGCATCCACCTTCGTTCAAATACAACTTGCATTGTTATCACAGAGTGTCATCTTCGCTGACTAGGGCTGGTCGCTGGTCCCCCTATACGTTCGTCGTTCACCACAGGAGTTGACGCATATTTCGTTACTTGTTAAACCCTGTGATGGTTGGCGTCAAAAACGAGAAAGGCCAGTCAAGACCTGGACTGATACAATCAAGAAAGATTTTGAACATATAAGTGGACCAGCGATTTATGAACTTAGACGATGAAAAAAAAAGGCTTTTATTACCACCAGTGATGGCGTCGGACCGAGCAGCTTAGAGACGTCTTACCGTTGTAGCCAGCGGAGCAAGCCTAACCAGTAATGGCGAGAGCTGTTAGAATAAAATGCTTGAGGACAACAAAACTTCCGGAGAATGATCTTCCGAATGAACTTTTCAAATATTATTCATTATTCTTTATATCACACTTTCAATAGATATCTTTGGTATGGAAGAAAGAAATACCAGATGACTGCAGCAAAGTACTTCTATTGCCAATTCTCAAAAATGTGATGGGACCTACTGTGACAATTGCCGAGAATCAATTTATTAGACACGTTTCAGTGAAAATTTTTGCTTTCCTTGCAATAAATAGACTTATGGCAGCACGAGATAGTAGAAAACGTTCAAACCAAGCTGGATTCTGATCTGGACTGACGGTTATGCCGAGCAGATATTCATATTAAGCAGGGTAATCAAATATCTGCAAGTCATACGTTTCATCGACTCTGCTGCCTTCAATTCAATTTGGTAAAACGACGCATTGGAAGGTGAAGAGAAGATTATTTGGTTCATAAAGGAAATTTATCAGCGCAGGAAAGTTTATATATAACGAAAAAACTCCTTAGAAATAAAAATTGATATCCGTCAAGGCTGAGTGCATTCAACTATACAATAGACTGGATAATGGACATAGCTTGCCGATAAGGGGTGTAAAAATTAGTCCTGAGTATAGTACCATAGACTGAATGCGCTGACGATGTAATCCTTTTTGCTAATAATGAAAATAATGTTAGAATGCAGTTAAAATCGTACTTAGGATAAATAAAACGAAAGCCTTTAATCTTAAAAACCAGAAGCTGATAGAATATCTATTTTTGGCTGGTTAAGGAAGTGTCGAACTTTACATATCCACTCTAATCCTAGGTGAAAGACAAAATTGCAACATGGATAATGATGGCTGAAATATTATCTTCCGATCAGCGACCTTTATAGAGATCACGAAATCATCATAATGACGAAAGATCCATGTAACTGTAATTCGCTGGATCTTGCAAGTAGCTGTGAGAAATGGTTAATGAGAGTGGATATTAAGAAACCTTTGAACACTCGTGTTTAAGATACATACGGATTCTCCTAGTGGAAAAAATCTCGCATGATTACATCTACCTTCGCTCTGATACCACCTGCATTAATAGTACCGTTACATATCGTCGTCTTTCTGGATAGCGCACTTCACCACAAGATTTGATACATTTTTTTTTTTCGTAAAATTCCATTTTTAGCAGTTCTTCGTTATTATTACTTGCCAAATCCTGTGACGTCAAAAGCGAGAAGTGCCAATTAATATTTGGACGGATAGAGGCAGGAAAGATTTTAAACATATAGATGGGTAAGCAATAAATAGACTTTATTACTGTTAGAGATGGTATCTGGAAACATCTTACCCTTATAATTGGCGAAGCCTAACTAGTGATGATAAGAGCTGTTAGGTGAAAAAGAAAGACAAGTCTGCCTGTCCACAACATGGCACATATTAATATCCCATTACTGGCTATGTCTTCGATTTTTCATTATAATTCCAGTGAGTGCAGACTCTGGAGCAATGGCTGAGAAATAAAAGAGTGAATTTTATAAGGTTCGACTTCCCACTGTATCTTTTCTTGAATCCAGGCAATTGGAGATGTTAAAATTACAACCAACAAAATCAAATATTAAAAATTAGAAATCGCTCGTAAAAAGAAAGCAAACGCACACACATTAACCATCTATGAGAGGGTAATCTGGTACCAGCAGCTGTGATAATTCCAGTTCCTAAAGTGTGTACCATTACCATTATTCTAAAAAGTCCCAGATGGGATTGAACATAGCCTAATCACTGAATACAAATTATGATCATATAAATAAATCTAACACGATTTTCCTTTGCAAATAATTATGACAAATTTAGGTAAAATTTACAAAATATACCCTGAAAAATGAAAAAAAAAATTTAAAATAAAAAATTGTACTTTCTGATCTGAGTGAGGGCTGGCTGGCCACCGAAAGCACGAATATGAATAGCACAGTGATAGGGTTCCGAACCGCGACTTAATGCAAAATCATCAATCTTTGGAACTGCCAACTTAGAATGATATTTTTCTGAAAATATAGATTTTCCAATCTAAAATTTTTGAATTAAAATGAAAAATCAACAGAAATCAACATTAATGATGAGATGAGAGCCTTCGAAAGAAACGAAGATACCATAGATATTATTTCGATAAACCATTAACTCTGAACCAATCACGCGTAAGGCACAACTTTCATCATCAGACCAATCCATCTTACCAGAATTCTACAATTTTTGACTACAGAAAAAATAAAATAAAGTGATAGAAACAACAAATAAAATCAGAAAATAACGGAGAAAGTGAAAACGATATCACCACATTCTGAGCAGTAACTGCAGCCAAAAGTCTTCCATCAGGAAGAGTCCAAATGCGCATGTTTGGCGGTGGCTTACGCTGTCGTCCTTCTATACCATTCTGAAATCAACAGCATAATCTTAAAATTATGATTTCACTTCAAAATAAAAAATAAGTTATTAAAAACCTGACTAAGGAATAACAGGCGTTTTAAAAAAAGAATGAACTAACCACTCTTGGACCATATGTAACATGTGGTTCATATGTGATCATAATATGATCCTTCGTAGAAAATACTATTTTCTGTGTGCGAGGCAAATCAACACTTATTGCTTCCTCAGCAGTGGCTATTTCAATTACAACTGTTCTGAAAATACAAATTTCAATCAACCAAATCAAAATCAAATTTAACACAAGTATATAATAAACTTACTTAACTCCATCGCAATAGGCAAAATATTGGCCTGTATTGCTAAATCTCGATATTCGACAAGATTTACCATTATTTCTGCAAAATTAAATCAATTGAAAAAATAAAATAAAACTTATCCATTTCGAAAATTTCGTGAAATATTAAAATATATTTTGAAGGAAAAAAAGGAATGTCAGCGTCGTAATTTTAAAAGATTCCAGAAATGGAGAACATACGCAGTTGTTTGAAATATCGAAGTGGGTGAATTGGTTCCTCGAAATAAAGATAATGCATCGGATGCTCGAACTAAGAAATAGAAAATTTTAGAATATTAAAGAACAAAGCAATTTTTTTGTTATCTTATCTGATAATCGGGAATCTATCTTTCTATTCTTCTAACTCAACATTTCTACGCTAAATGACAAAAAAATGAATCCATAAAATCATTAGAGATATAAAATGCAGGTGGAGTTCCAGTCTTTTAATTTCATTTTTAATGGAAAGCATCATCTAGTCAAGAAACAGGAATCGCACCTATGATGACTTGATAGAATCAACATATCACTTTACCATCCTGAACTCACCTCTAACGCGAACGGATTGGAAAAAATAAAGCAAATTTTAAAAAATCAAAACAAAAGATGAGGGTAAATGAATTTCAAATATTTCTTGGCTTTAATCAAAACAATTATAAAAATCAAACCTGCAAAACAAAGATTTTCACTCATTTCAGAATCGTTGAAAGCGGCAGTCCACAAAAATTAATCAGGCTAATAACCCTGAATTAAATATTCTTAAATTCTATGACTTTAAGATTAAAAAAAACCTCCCAGATGCGGTAGCAACAAATAGATATCGTGTCAATATCTATCGCATCAATCGGAAAAAAACGCGAAAATGAAGAAAAACACAGAAAGAATAAGCCATAAAAAAAATAAACAAAATTGAGGATGAAAAATTTAGAGAAAGTAAAGGGCTTTGAATAAGGAGTTGTTTAAATTTGGATTATTTTTCAGAGATGGAATTTAAATGGGAAAGAAAGCAGGATGTTTATAAAAGAATTCAGAGAGGATTAACGACATGACTGAGTCCAACCAGGAATCTGAGGCAGCTATGGAGAGAAGAGCAGCAACGTGTAGGGCACTATTCTGGCCAGTTTTATCGGCGCCTCGACGAACACGGACTCTGCTTCACGCCAGTCAAGAAGGAGAACCGCACCTGCGACGGTTCCACTCCATTCCCGGCCACATTTCCTCGAGACGAGCCGACAAGCCGACGCTAAACGTTAAGCCCTATCGAATACAACGGCATTCAGGAACTGATAGCAGACTTCATTCGTGCAAAAAATAAATGCAAAATATACGAATTTACATTTCGAAATGCAGCATTCAGAGGTGATAATTTGCTTGAAATTTATATATTAAAAGGAATCTCAATTCCTTAAAAATTTTGTAAAATTCAATAAAATATAAATAAACCATTCGCATAAATATTATTATTATTATAAATATTATTAAGCAAATAAACAATAATAATTCGATCAAATGGAAAACAAACAACGTTTAAAAAATGAAAAACGCTAACAAAAAGAAAAAAACTAACCAATGTAATTTGCAAAAATAGAAAATCACCAAAAAGTACAGATTGCAAACAATCATTTTAAGAGATAATTTTTACAATGTAAATATTACAGCTCGAAAATTTTACTTGGCAGTGTTAATAAGTTTTCCGTTTTGATCCCAGCAAATGTTAAGATGATTATTATTATGGATTTTATTTCTATCAGGCCTAAGGCATCTCGTAAATGGCTGAGTTATGCATTTAGCCAGAATTTGGATCTGAACTTCGACATTTTAATTGAGCTCGGAAAAACTTTATATTCTGGAAATCGTCAAAAAAATTCGACATTTTTTTCAATTTTAAAGACATTAATAGAAAAAACTGTGCTCTTTCTTTTATTTATTCTTCTCGTTTAATACCAAAATATTGTTGTGAAATTTGATTAACAAAATTTGATTTTTAAAAACTCCGCATCGCCAATAATATATTTCGCTGTTTACCAAAATTTATTGAGGAATTGTTAGGAATTGATAAGAAATTATATAAAATAAAGTTAAGTGAAGCGAAGCAAGCGGAAGTGATGTGGAGATGATTAAAGTGAGAAACGACAGTGAGAAGGAAAGTAGTTTGGCTGAAATCCTTCTTTCTCCTTTCTCCAGCCTTCCGCTTCAATTTATTTTTCAGCCCACAGCTCAATTCCTTCATTTTACCGAAAAATTTTCTTCGAAAAACAGTCGCTAAATAATTCAGTTATGCAGCAGTCCAGTTGGAGGCAATTTTCTGCAAACCACAAGTGTATTTGGAAGCGAATCTCACCACACCTGTCAAGTTGAGTTGTTCCTTGCGAATGAACATTGCAAATTTCCTTCGATCCTTCCTTGACATTATTATTTTTGCTATTAAAATGCATTGCATCAAAAATTTTCGATAAATTATCAACATTAATTGAATTCGGCGATGAGATTAGTTAACTAATTTATCAGCGATTCTCATAGTTCATTACAAATGCTTTAAAGAAGTTGTTTAAATAGATATTTTCCATACATAGTTAATTGAGGGGCAAAATGTTGACCCATCGTGATTTCACTTATTCAGTAAAATTATCATTTTTGCCTGCATGAGCTGTGCGGCGAATTTCTTAACTCTTAACTCTTAAAACTGCTAACAAACCAGTAAAACACCATTCAATTTTATAAAACTAAATATTTTCTCATGAAAATACACATTTTCATATTCTACGAGAGTCTTATCATATCATCTTATCAAATTACCTTAGATTTTCACATTTTTGCTCAAATATGTTGCTTGATAGTATCGCCATTGCAAATGCAAATAAACGATTCATCTCAGTTAAGGAATTAGAATAAGTTAACTGTTGAAATATTTGATTGTTTTCATATTTCTGTATTTTATTTTAAATGAAATTGTATCTCAGAAAGTTTAAATTGAAATTCCACTTGAGAAGCGATGGGTCGCAATAATGCACTTTTGTTTCGCGTTCTTTTAAGTTTCTTCTAACAGCACTCGCCATGTTTTAAATGACTTACTGGCTATCAGGATGGGACCACCTTGCCAGAGAATCACATAAGGGTAGAAGACTAGGTATGTCTTCAGTCTCAGACGAATTTAAAACCTAAAATGCTTAAAATCCTTAGTTGAAGCATTGTGCTGCATTCTGCGTTCATTCTTTAACAGATCATAATTTTTACTGAAAATAAAAGTCATTACGAACCAAACAGATGAAAAAATAGCCACCGTGCGCTGCCTACATCAATTCTTGTAATTTTATATGATTTATGCAGTAGTCACTTCGCTTTATAATTCATTATTCGGAAAAAATTGCTCGTGCACTGATAAGTTGATTTCCATTTTTTATCTGGCAAAAAAATTAGCGCCTGAATTTCCATAATCGTAATCATTCTTATTCGAGAAAAATGTATTTTAGCATCATGCACATGCACATAAGCCAGGATTGCCACCCGAAATTCGCAAAAGTTGGGTTGAGCGATGAACGACCCATTTTTCCGGAAATCCTATTTGAAAATCATCTAGAAGGACTTGAATCTTTCATGCTCTTACCCGAGATAAATCATCACCATTTAGTAGTGGAATTCCAATTTTTATTTCAACACATTGTTTCTAAATGTTACCATCCAGTAAATATGAATTGTTCACGAAAGACAATATTGCTGCTAGTGGAATTCCAAATGGAAGGGAAAATTTTTACCATTTGTGTTGAAGCAATGAAATTTCCAAATGGAATGTAACATTTTAAATAACATTTTACAGGATGTGCATGTAATGTTTAGTACAATAAATTCGACTAATTTTTTTTCTGTACAATAATCGAACGACAAATGACCATAAGTAGTTTCAAAGAAAGAAAGTTGTTGCCTCTATGAATCACAAAATCCCCAAAGGTGAGAGAATTTTTTTAAAATATCAGTTAATCTTACAGTGGTGAAAAGTGGTGGTTTTCGGAAACCATTTATTTTGATTTAGATTTTTATCGAAAATTCCCTGAAAAATTCGAAGCAAACTTAGTAACCTAACTAACCAGTTCTTACCGACTGAGATTATTTTTTTACCAGAAGGTGCTTCGCCAGTGGCAACTATGAATTTATAGATTTTAAACGCAATTTGCTAGACGGTCGAAAATTTAAAGTAGGCTGTTCTCGATTAAATATATTGTGTCTAATAAATATATCTAAAAGCGGTGGTCACCGTTCCTTTTATAACGTCAACTTTCAGTGACTCGAACAAACTCTATAATTTTCTATCAGTTGGACTTGGAGATGGAATAATTCATAGTTACCTGCACGATCAAATGTTTGTTTAAATAGTAATTGAAATGCAACGAAAAGAAAAACCATTTCATAGGCGTGGTATCTCTGATTGTCGTATTTCTGATAGCTAACGACTTTAACAAAGCTAAAAGGTGGAACACCTTTTATTTATTTTAATGAATACCTTTTAACTTTTCACTGGTGTTGAGTTTCAGGTGTCTCATACAAAAGAGATTTTCGGCCGTTGCCTGTTGATGGGCAATTATTTCTTGCGCTAGATCGTCCGAATTTAACCACCGTTCAATTATAGGTTCTGATTACTTTATCTTAAGATTAGTTCATTGAAAATTTCTTTTTCGGACTTTCTACATCTCCGAAAAGCAATGAGTAGTTCAAAAATATTTTCTAATTGTCTGAAAAAGAATCTTTCAAAAAAGATGACTTTCGCATTTATTTCGAAATGATTCCAGAATTAATAATTCGAATTATATTTTATACTTTATTCCTCATTTGTGGAGGCGAAAATTTTCAGGATGAAGAAGCTTTTGAAACGAGAACAATTAAAGTTTACGATTTATTCATTTTCTGTCCAGCACTTATCACAAAAGATTTCACTGCTGGCTTTTGATAGCCACTTCTCTATTTTTCTCAAACGTTTGCATATCTTATAATTAATTATTTAGAAATATTTCTTTTGTGATTATTGTAATCTATTATTCTTTTGTGATAATATAAGAGAAATGAAATTAGCTAATGGTCAGATTTTTATATATGATTCCCAAACTTCATTCAAGAATTGTTGAGCTTTCTTAAAGTAAATGAAATAATATTCAGATGGATAATGCAAAATCAAAATGAATGAAGCGAATGAAAAATTCATACACACCATAATAGATATATAAATACATATACATAATAAATATATGTATATCATAATAATAATTAACGAAAGATGGAGATTCAGACTAATAAATAGTACTACACCGTTTCATAACTAAAATCTTGATTCCATCTTATTGCTGGCTCAAAAGCCAAAAGCAAAACACTGACATTCATATTTGAGATAGTTTTGCGCTGGCAAGGAAATATGAAATTCAGCTAGAAATCGTTTTAAAAGTAAAATAAAATATGAGATTCTGAATTAATCGCCTTCTTTATTTCAAGCGATTTCTCAGATTGAGATCTAGAATTCTTTTTTCTGTCCCACTCGTTCCTGAACTTGATATCTAAGGTTATTTCACCGTTAATCAATTTCCTGCTGGTTCATCTCGTAATAAATTCCTTTAGCTTTCATTAATTCTTGGTGGGTTCCTGCAAAATCAAGGTACCACGAGAAAATAATAATAATCAATTAGACGTCAGGATTACTTAAAAAAAAAAGATAAAGGTAAGAAAAAATAAAATCTTATCAAAAGGTAACCTTCTTCAGCGATTTCCCCATCCACTAGGACGTATAATCTTCCAACAGAGCGAATTGATGATAGTCGATGCGCTACTAAAAATTAGTCCATTGTATTTTTTTTGAAGAGTTTTCACCGTTACTGGTTAAACTCGTTCCGCTAGCTTATCGCACTGGGCAAATATGTCATGGAGACCCTTAACGATAGAAGTGCAGGTAAGTCACCAGCATCAGCAGGATTTTTAGACAGGTTTACTCCTGGGAAGAATGGAACCTCAGTATCGGCGCTCCGAATTGAACAAGTTTCATATTAAGGCACAGGGATCTAATTTGTGATACTTGTCTGTGCTTGCAAGAAAATAAGCAGAGCATATGTGTTATGTGCTGATATCACCATTAAAAAACTGATAAAAATAATAAGAATAATGATTAAGGTAATAAAAAAAAATGAAAAAAAGGAAGAAATATGAGCAATTTTAGAATGATCTGTTCATAACGACTGAAATGACATATTGCTTCGATCGTCTTTGACAATAACTATGAAAGGGTGATCCAGATGCATTTTTCTCCTCAAGTGGCTCTCTACCAAAGGAATCTCGTCACAATAACCAGTGCAGCCAAACCAGAAATGGGGTGAAAAGAAAAAGTACAATAGTACAATACGAACCATAGATGCAAGTACACTTCTTACTGACTGATTCTAAAGCTGACTGCACAGCCTGAAATTTTTCTTTTTTCATTGGTACAAATAAACTAGTAAAGTTTAGTTTTTTCAGTCTAAAGTTTTTTCCAAAGATAAAAATGGAAGGCTGCCTTTTCACTGGCGGTATCAAGTGCTGCTGTAGCTTCATCTAACAAAAGAATTCTAGGCTCGCGTATAATGGCACGAGCTATTGCGATTCGCTGTTTTTGCCCTCCGGACAGTTGTGCCCCAAATTCTCCAACTTCTGTGTTGTATCCCTAAATAAGCATTGGACTTTAATCGGATTTCGAGTTAGATTATAAGTGAATCATGTATCCTCCTATGCTTTTATAAGTAAAAAATCACTTGAGGTAATGATAAAATAAAATCATGGATATTGGCGATTTCTGCTGCTTTGGTTATTTTTTCTTCTGTTGCTTCATCATCAGGCAACCCGTATGCTGCAATTCAGACAATTTGCAGCATATGCATTTAAAATTAGAGGAAATAAATGTTCATTTAAAAAAATTTACAAATTATACAAAAATTTTGGCGACAGTTACCGATATTCTCACGAATAGTGAATGAAAAGAGCGTTGGTTCTTGTCCAACTGATACAACGACCCTTCTCAAATAAGCAGGATTTATTGACTTTACGTTATGGTTATCAATAAGCTAAAAAAAATATCATGGTATATGAATATGCCATGGTATATAAATAGTTGTTTATTTAATGATTCGTTCTATTGAGCTAAAATATTTTTTGCCGGAAGTAAAATAAACCGCAGAATTTTCCATTAACTACCTAAATTTAAATAAAGAATCCTTCTATCGTAAAAGATATCTGATTAATATTTCATACCACTTCACCATTTGTAGGATTATACATTCGTTGAAATAAAGACAAAATTGAGCTTTTCCCACACCCCGATGGTCCAACAATAGCAATTGACTCACCTGGCCTCACCTGAAAAGAAATTAAAGCTTAGTTACACTTTACACTTTACTTACCTTGATGCATGTTTCCGGATAAAATTACTTGATCATACCTTAATATTGAGATTTTTGAGCACTGGTAATATAGGTCTCGAAGGATACCGAAATTCCACATTTTTTAATGCCAATCTTCCCGTTATTTTCTGCAAATTTAATTTAGAATACTCCATTTCAAATGGATAATCTTGAAGAGCACTGCCCTTATGCAAAATGAAAGTGTGATTTTTTAGAGAACTTTAAGAACTCTAAATGAGCTTTAAAATACTTTCTCAGATCTTGTTCACTTTCACATCTTTTCAGGGATTTTGGAAGCTCTTTTAACTTTTTGAAGAAAATTTTTTGCCATACCGGTCTCAACCCTTCATCACTTAAGTTATTCATATCAACAGCATTCTCCTTGATAACATTAACAATATTCTCTGCCGCAACTCGAGCTTTTGATAAATTACTTATTGATGCAATAAGTTGACTTATGAAATTCGCACCAAATTGTGTTAGCAATACAACTCTAAATAAAAAGAACTATTTATAATTGTAATTATAAGAATTTTAAATTTTAAATAAATTTTAAATAAATAAATAAATTTTCTAAAATTTTTTACAGCAAATAATAAAAAAATTCACCTAATATAATTAAATGGCGAAATTTCATTGCTTAACATCATTACTTTACCAAAGTGAAGTGTAACAGCAATAAGAATATAAGCAAAACTAAACTGACACGCGAACACAAATGAACTGACACAGGACTGCCGTTTCATTGTTCTGCAAATATTGGAAGTGTAACCTTTTTTTGGAAAGGAAGAAAGAACGCTCTTTTGTATTTAAGGTTGCATTTTATGAACAAATAAGAATATGACAATTTTGATTTAAGATGGTCATTTATCGCAGTACGCTCCTACAAAACTTTTCCTCTAAGGTGTTTATCACAATTCCAATGTTAGCGGTATAAATGCTTATTTTGAGCAAAAATTAGCTAAAGTGCCACTAATCTATATAAGAATACCGAGCCGAATTAATATACGAGAGAAAGAAGCACTCAAGAGAATTTCTGAAGGCACATCAATTGCTGCCATTCCTATGTTGAAATGCATTCTATTAAGTGAAATTGATATGATAAATTTAAGAGTTATAGAATGGGAAATACAATACTATAATTTTCATACTTTTGAAGAGGTTTGAGAGCATCACAAAAAATTTGATTAAAATGCTCCTGAAGAGTATAGGCTTTTATTGTGCTCATATTTGAAAGTACAATAGTTGCTAGCTGCAAATATTAACAAAAATTACAAAAATATTCAAATATTCAAGGATTAATGCAGTATTTTCATTCACAGGACATTCCTACAAAAATTTAAAGGTTTTGAATTATGGAAAAAAATTCATTACTAACATTTGTTGCCTTTTTCTCTTGTTCGGCCATTTGTCGTTGCCGTTTACTGGTCTCACGTAACTCTACCAGTCGAAATAAAAAGAAGGCTGGGAATTGGAAGCCGCATAAAACAGCCAATTTCCAGTTTATAAAAATCGCGACAGACACCGAAACAATTGAACATATCATAGCAGGAAGTAGAAGATCAAGCTTTTCACCCAAGATCTGAGATATATTCAAGCATCACTGACATTATAAAATAGAAACCTATTGATACTTTGGTCTTCAATTTAGCATCCATCTAACCCTATTTAAACTTGTAGTATCGGACATAAGTTTGTGCACTAATCTTCCCGGAGAATTGGTTTCCTCATCGAAATATGCCGCTCCATGGCGTAAAATTCGTCGAAACATTTCACTTCTTAAATACGCACAGAAGCCATGCCCATATAAAGCAATAAATAATCTCTAAAAGCAGTAATCCTTTTGATAGTATGCCGATTTATTTTTATTCAATATTCAACAGTAGAAGGTATCAAAAAAGTTCGTCTAATTTTGGTACAATTTATAGTTCTAAATATGTAAAACACGCGTATGGCTTAAATTGCTTTTCGATAATTAAAGAACAACCTTGGGTCAGCCAAAGTTGTTCTTTCTTTTGATGGATGAATTAGCACATAATTAAAATATTAAGTTTTCCACACCTTTAGAAGGATAACTGACTAACCCCAACTGCTTCAAACATTGTTTTAATTATAATGAGTGCTGTGTATACAGCCGCCGTTATAAAAACTTGCTGTGACTTTTCTTCCTCAGGTACTGTTGCAATCTAAGAAACGAATGTGTAGTTTTAATTCAGCTATTTTAAAAGAAACTTTGGTTAAATGAAATGAATTTTTACTTCGAGAACAGATGCGACTTCGAAACAGACTAAGAGAAAGAAGAAACCGCGCAAGATTGTAACTGGTATCGCAATAGCCAAGTGAGCATAGCCTCCCTTATAACTTTTAATCAAATTCCATACAGCATTGAAATTAGTGTCTTTTCCAGGGAGCTTCAAAATTTTATTAAAAGCAATCGTTTTAAAAAAAATCACATTGAAAATGGAGGATATCGAAAATTGCCGAAATACATGGCAAAATTTGCTACAGCAACAATTGTAACATATTTCGAAAAATATTTTCTCTATTTTTTTGCTGTTTTCTGTTTCTAATGCTCTTAGATTGATTGGCGGTACTGATAATTAGGCTGAAGCCATTAATCAGATTTTAGTAACAGATTTAATTTTCATGGGATAGCAATCGAACTTTTGGCTTTATTTTAATGAGACAATATCGAAGATGTAGAAAAATATATGAAAAACCATACAGCAAATTCGTCATCAAAACTCTTGTCATCCATAGCAACTTCCATAATATTGGTCTTCAATGGTGTATCCATGACACTGCGTTTTTTAGACATTACAGGCAATGCCAATTTGGCACGATCGGTGCTCAACACGGAATAGGATTTTCCTAACCGTTTATGAGCACCGAGTGATGATCTAGCCCATGCTCGACGGTATGTCTCAGGATCCTGAATAATGCATTTAAAGTTATAAATCAAGAAAATCAAGAATTCTTAAGAATTCGTTAAATTTACTTCTACTTTATGCTAAAAGAATTTTCCTTAAAAAAATGCTTGCTTACCATAAAATCAGCTGGTGCCATAGAGAAATGAGCTGCTAGTGAAGCTTTTGCCTTTGCCTTTGGAATAACTGAAAGTGAATCAAGTTTTTGGTCATTGTACATCCGGAAAAACTTTCCGTCACGTTTGGCTAGTAGTTCTTCGGGAGTGCCTTCTTCAACAATTAATCCACTTTCCAAAACAATTATCCTGTCTGAATTTCGCACTGTACTTAGCCTAAAAACTCTTTTTCATTAATCTTTATTTTTTTATTTTGCTTATTTTTTAAAGTGCTGCATCTAAAGTCTTTTTTTTATTCTTTTAACTTTTTAATTTTTATTTGAATTTTTTTGTTATATAATTAAACTATCGTACATAATTATTGATGAAATGTTATAGGCCATTGAAATTTGGAAATTTTTAAATTATTAATTCTATCATCCTACCTATGTGAAATTGTTATAGTAGTAACACCCTGACTTGCAGCATCAATAGCTTTCTGCACTTCAACTTCGTGTTTATTGTCCAGGGCTGATGTTGCTTCATCGAAAATCATCACTGACGGGTTGCGGATCACAGCTCGAGCTATTGCAACACGTTGCTTTTGACCTCCTGAGAGTTGCAGCCCTCTAAAATAAATTGTCTTTATTTTTCGTGGACGAAGTACCATAAGAAATTCGGCTTACCGATCGCCTACTCTTGTTTTCATTCCTTCAGGTAAGGCACAAATGAATTGCCATGCTTCTGCTTTTCTTGCTGCTTCGTTTATTTCAGTTTGAGTTGCGTCCAGTCTTCCGTAGCGAATATTGTCACTGATGGTACCTATGTTTTTCGCCAGTACTTTTTAAAATTTAGTACTTACAAGTTATAAACCTGGTATAATAACCAAATTTAATTTGGGAAAGGTTTAGACTTTAGACATTTTTTCTTAGTTATTCTTTTAACAGCAATCTTCACTCGATCGTTGTAGCCAGCAAGAAATATATATTCAAGTGAGTCACCAGGGTCTTCTTTGGAACGTTAAGCATATTATATATTAGTTATTATAATTGAGCTTAGGGTTAATTATAACAACAAATAACCATCAAATAAAACTGGTTCTTGGCTAACTAGTCCCAGTTGAGCGCGCAAATTATCAGGATTCAAGCGCTTCAAATTAACGCCATCAAGTGTCACCTAAACAATTTTAACAGCAATCAATCATTGAAGTCATCAGAGTTTTAATGTTTAATTCGATTAGTTTATATAAAATATTTCAAACTGAAAGAAAACTTTTATAAAAAAAAATACAATATTATCGAAAAATGGTTCTGAAAAATGATTAAAACAAAATTTTTTTCAGATGATATCAACAAAGAAATCCAAAAATAAAAAAAGGGACTTACTGAGCCACTGTTCGGGTCGTAAAATCTGAGTATCAATGCAGTGAGAGTGCTTTTTCCTGAACCACTTGGACCGACTATTGCAATATGTTCTCCAGTTCTCACCGTAAATGAAACACCACGAAGGACCTTATTAAAACATAAATAAATAAGTAAATTTATATTAATAATTTATATAATTTATAAATATATAATTTTAATAAAGTATTGACATTGAATTTTATATTTCTTTATATTCATAGAATTACTTCAATATCAGGTCGAGTTGGGTATGCAAAACGTATATTAGAAAAGACGATAGCGCCTTTTCCCTTTGGTTTCATCATACTCTCTTTATGTCGATTCACATTGCATTCGATATTCGGTGTTTCTTCCAAAATTGTGTTCATTTCATTAGCACTGGTGCGAGCTGTCGATGCTCCAGTTAAATGAAAACCAATACTTATCGATGTCACACACATATATAGCATATTTATTGCAAGCTGAAAAATGTATACTTGCACAGCTTTTGCATTAATTTTCGTTACTGATGGGGTTAGAATGCGCTTTTTTCACATAAATATCAAATATATTTCTACTTAAAACTTCACCAAATTTTTGAAATTCTTGTTTTTGTTTGTTTGAAAAACTGCTTTTTGAGTTCATAAAGTTTTTCCTTAATTTAAATTAACGCCAATTAAATTAGAAAAATATTTTTATTATTGATATTCATTTCACGATATTAATATGTATTCTAAAAGCAGTCAGCATTTTTGGTTCAGCAAGTTTCACTGAGGGTGGCTTTTTCTTTGTTAAAGAATATAAGTACAAATGGGTTCCTCTCTCTCCGCTCCACTCCGATTAAGGAGAGGTTCACTTCTTCAGAGACAAGAATTCAACTCATGCTACTCGATCTTAGCCGAAACTACATTCCATGTCATTATCCTTTTTCGCGACATAATGCTAAACATATTGCTGAACTAATAAAAGTAAATATGGGAAAATATTCTAGTAATAATATAAAGAAAAATTGGCAGCGATGATTAATAATCAAAAATATCGTCATATATTTTCAAAATTTGTTATAAGATGCCAAATAAACTGACCGCTGTGAGGCGTCCTGACTTCTTATCTTCTACTCGCCACATTCCATAACAAAGCGCACCAGTAAATATGATTTCAGTTAGTAAAACCTGAAATTCTCTTATTCTTATTATGTACAGTTAGCATCAATTCATAAATGTTCACCTTTATCTTTTGACGATTATTTACATTCAACATATATTTATTACCTGAGCCAAAGCATCATATATTGATGAAGCTGTGAGACGTTGTTCAGTCATTCTGTTATGCTCTATAGTCAACCTTTCGTACCTGAAATCTTCTCAATCCTATATGGAGCTTTTTTCATCTGTCAAAACAAATCGAGAGTTGTTTTACAGATTTGCTAATAATACTTTAGTAATACTTTAAATAAGGAAATAAGGAAATCAGTAAAAATCAAAAGTTGCAAGGATAAAATTTAGATTCTGGTGCAGAAAGTGAAAATGATTCCCACTTATTAATTGTCTGTTTCTGCGCCGAAAATGCAATGACAGTTCGAATGCATGAAAAGGTCTCCTGCACGAGATTCGCCATTTTAGCTATGAGTTTATGCTCATCCTCTCTCGTTTTGCAAAACCACTATAAATTGATTAAATAAATAAAGGCTATTTTTAAGCGCTAAAGCGAATTGAAATACATTCGTCGCTTCACAGTTTATATGGTTAATACTTCTTCTTCTAACTCTTCTCACTATTACTATTTAGACTGGCTCTGCTGGCTTTCAAGTTGCTCGATCGATGCCATCGACAGTAATAGAAGGCATTCCTTCTTCTATCGTCTATTGCTGGTTCATCTGTACATTTAAAATCTTTTCTAAATATATCAATCCAGGTTTTGATTTGTCAACCTCGCTTTTATGCCATCCATCTGAAAGTTTACTAGTAACGATGAACTGGTAAAATAGGTATTTTACGAAACATCAACTCGTGTGGTGGATGATGAAGAAAGCACCCCTAACCAATAAAGGCGACGATCTGTGATGGTACTGTTGACGTAGAAGGTATTTGAGCTAATGGATGATGTGAGATTTTATCCACACGGTGAGCCCATAAAATATCGTCCACTCTCAATGGCAATCGGCCGTTAGCAAAATTGCAGTTATATGGCGATCTTTCGTCATTATTATTTTGTGACCTTTATAAAGGTCGCTGATTGGAAGAAAAAATTTTTAATATAAATATTTCTATCCATCATTTTATCCAGTCATCATTATCCAGGTTGCAACTTCGCCTTTCGCCTGGGATAAAAGTGGATATTTAAAATTCGACACTTCCTTAACCAGCTGTGGACTGCCAAAATAGTTATTTTGTCAGCTTCTGAGAAGAAAGGCTTCCGTTTTATTTACATTGATCCTGAGTCCGATTCAAATTTTAGCAGTTTAACATTGTTTTCATTATTAGCAAAAAGGTTACAACATCAGCGCAAGATCTGTGATACTATACTCAGGGCTGAGATTAATTAGTACACCTCTTGAATGTCGACAATCGATGCCCATTATCTAGTCTATCGCATAGTTGAATGCACGTAGCCTTGACGCATATCAGTTTTTATTTCTAAGAAGTCTGTTTTCCATACACAAACCTGCCTGCGCTGATAAAATGCCTTTATGAGCCTAATAATCTTCTCATCACCCTCACCTCCCAATGCGTCGTTTTATCGAATTGAATCGAAGGCAGGAGACTCGATGAAACATATAATTTGCAGATATTTGAGGCGATGTTCTAATACCTCTCTTAATATCTGGTCAGCACAATCAGGTCAGTCATATCCAGCTTGCTTAGGCCGCCTCCTGCCGTAATGCCATTTATGTCCGATGCTATAGATAGCACATCGTGTTAAATTCGGCCTAAAAGGATTTTTTCCATCTTATTAGGCAATCCTTAATAGCCTTAACAGGCCCAATAATATTATAGCGTATCATTCCACTGACTATTTCCACGAGTACACGAGCTGAGTTGCTTTGTGAGGAAGGCGGAATAAGTTTCCTATTATTGCTTTATCAAACCGCCTATCTATTTTCAAGTCCATATCGCTATAGCGATTTCTATTTTGCTGTGCTACTGTTGCTGTAATTCTTCAAAGCATTCAATAGTTAGGATCCACATTTATGCTTTGGTATGCCTTTTCAGATATGACAATCGCTATACCATTTTCCCGATTTATCCGAAAACATCACAATGATAAAGCTAGTACCTCTGCGCGGAACTACGTTTAGTAATTGCAGGAGAGCTGAAGTGAAGAAGAAAACAGGTAAACAGATAAACAGGTGACATCCAAATGATATTTAGAAGGAATGAAGAAATCGCTTAGCTTGCAACATCCATAAGCGCTCTCCACGTTATTGCGGCCAACATCTCGCGGCGCATACAGAAAACCATTAATAGGTTTCGAACAGATTACTTTGGCAGCTCGCTAATATATTCTAATCACAAGCATTGGAAAAGTTTTATTCCAGGATTGTAAATTTTTATATATTATGTATATTTATCACTTTATTTAAAAAAGATCGAAAAATAAATGAAAAAAATAAGTGGATTAAAAGCCAAGCAAAAAATGAAAGCGAAGCCCGGATGACTGCATTTAGATATGCATGGATTCGCTACGAAATTGCCATCAAAAGAAAGGAAGTTTTTTTAAGTTTCGCTTTTTATCTGGCTGTCTTCATTAAATATAATCTTATTATATAACTGCGAAACATGGGCAATGAGAGTAAAGGATTTTTAGAAGTCATCTACCTTTGGTCATTTTAAGATACTTACTTATATTCTTACTCGCTCATCTGATAAAATCTCAAATTCATCTTCGCTGAAACATTATATATTAAAAAAAATATAGTCGTAATGCATCCCATGTACTGATTAGATCACGTTCTTTGCTGCTCACCAAAGAAACTGATGCATGCCTCTATTTGCTGAACCTTGTAATGACAGGAATCAAAATTAAAGAGAACCAATCAAGGCTTGGACTGTAAATTTTTATATATTATGTATATTTATCACTTTATTTAAAAGTCAAACAAAAGATAATGGCGATAATGGCGATGATTTAGGCGATGAAAAAGGGAATGACTAATTGTAAAGTATGAATCGAATCGGCCAGCTTAGAATTGGCTTACTTTTGTAGTCAGTGGAGCCAAGATAATAATGGTGAGGAATGGTTAGAAGAAGAAGAAAGGATTCATTTGCCGGGTCTTCTTTCTTTTATAATTATTTTTTTTCATACTATTAAGATGCTAACTGCAAATAACAGCAATTCCAATTTGCATTGTGAAAAAAAGAACAAACCTTACTAAAAACCAAACGTGTCGCTATTAACAGTGGCAAAGCAGCGAACATCACTAATGTTACATCCCACTGGATATAAAAACAAACAGATAAAGTGACAAACAAATAGGCAAACACGAAAATAACCATAGGAATATGGTCAGCAATTCCTTGATATATTGAGTCAGCATGGCTGAAACACTTAATTTTATAAATTTTGCAAATCAATCGCAGTTGTTTTCGATACGATTTATTTCATTGTGCCATATCTCTCAACGAATCGGGATTTTTAGATGAAAGTTATATGGCTGGTAAAAATTCTTTTAGGCAAGAAAAATGGATCGTATAACTGTACCACTGTGAAGATTTAAAATTTTTCGAACTATGTTCAGTTCGCTAATATAGGCGTTTTTCTAAAGTATTTTTGATTATAATCTACTCACTCATGAAGCATTGATGCCACTTGTCCCGAATGTCGAGATTCTAACCATGCGACATCCATATGAAGAAGTTTCCGTATGTAAGCTTTTTTTATGCGGAATACTTGTCGTATTCCTGATACTTCCCATGCCAATCTCTGAAAGCTTTTTCTTTTATATAGTCGAATGCTTTGGAAGATAACAGAAATATATGGAAAATAAATGATTTAAAATATGGATTTACTTCAATAATCAGCCAAAATTCGTGGTTTTTGTTTGAAATAGGCAAATTTTATTGCAAAAAAAATTTCGGCAGTTTAGTCAATTGCAATGTTGATATTTATATTTCATTTCATTTATTTAAGTCAATTTAGTTAGACTTACTTTTAAAAAATTTTCTATTATTGTAGCTTAAATTTATTATTATTATTTTAATTTATTATTATTTATTATTATTTATTTATTTATTATTATTATATTGTAAGTTATTTCAACTGTCATAATTTTTTTGATGAACTGAGAAAGTTTTTTTGCTATATTTGCCAATAAAATTATTCTTTTGCCACTAAATTTTTGCAAAAATTTATCCTTCTGCCATTAGATTTTTAAGAACTGGTTTCATCTTACTACACTGAAATGAAAAAATAAAAAATCTTACTATACTGAAATATCGACAAACTGGATTAATTCTATCCAATTAATTGTAAAAACACTGAAATACCAATACTGGTTGCTACCAGTCGTAAGTAATAAAGAAATAAATAAAATATAAAAGAGCTATGAGAATTAATTTTAATTAATGCAAATGGTAAATTCGAATAATAAATATTAAATTATTTAGCTAATAGTTATGGCAATGCTGGTATAAAATAATGCAAAGAATTTTCGAGGAAATAGTTTTTGCGAATGATAGGCAAAGTAAGTTCGAAAATTAAATAAGTGCACAAAAGTGCTGGTATGAAGCCAAATATTCATGTAAATTAAATTCGAGCAAAAAAAAGCCAAAGATTTTAGAGAGCCCATATATTTTTCATTACAAAATCGTCTAACAAATAATTCTTGGAAAATAAATCTTTTGAAAAAAATTAGGAAATTAGAAAAATTAGAAAAAAGTTAGTTTATCCAATTTAATGGCAGAATAGATGAGTAACTATTGCCTAGATTATAACTTCGGGCATTACTGTTCAATCTTTGCCCTAGCAAAGCTGCTATTAAAAAATCCGAACAACTTCTATCCACAAATGAAAATTATATCATCTTACTAAAGGCCATTTGAGAGAATCTTACCAGAAATGGGAGAAAACTGACGCTGACACTGACCGCTGACCATTACACGCTAATGAAAAAATTTGTTAGAAATTTCTTGCATAATAAAATATAGGCATGGTCGTATTTTTGTTATTCACGATTTTGGTTACCGTTGTAAGAAAAATTAAACTATAATTTCAAGAATTTCGTGGCTAAAGAAGTGTGATTTACAACGAAAAATTCCGATAAAAGTGTTATTCACCTATTTTTTGCATTCATTCGACTACACAGAAATTGAAGTACGACGTTTGTTTTTTAAAAAAATCGAAAAGCTTTCAAGCATGTTTCTTCTAGAGCCTTCTAAAGTCGTCGCAACTGAGAAGTAAATTGCAGAAAAAACTAAGAGGGAATCGGAAAATTCGGAAATAGGAAATAATTGGGAAAACTATCGTTTCACTTCAAAATCAAAGATTTTTAATTTATCGGCGCCTAAAAAAGTGAACTTTGATAGATGAAATATGATTTATTAATAGATAAGACACATAGGTAACTACATCCTTAATAACATTATTAAAATTTTGCAAAGAGGTTTTCGATTGAACAATGTCTCGAAGGCTTTAGATTGTGCTGAAAATTTCTAGTAAAGCAGATCTATTTCTTTCATAATATACCTGAAAGAATGCTGCGATAAATGTCGCCACTGACAAGGATAACATAGTTATAAATACAGGAGTTGCAGAACGCTCGAATTGTTGATCTATCAGTGATTGCCTATTATTACTGCTAATAGAGCTGTTAACTTGCAAAAAATCTAAAGCTCTTTGAAAACTTTGAGTTTTATTCATTTTAAGTTCCTGAAAACGAATCAGAATTATTTCGAAAGCGACTGATAAAATATAAAATGAAGGCAAATCAGTTTCATAAAGTTTCATCTTAATTGGTCCTCCAACAAAAAATAGAATTTTTCAACTGTAAGCACCAAAAAAAATAGACCATTCCGTTAAGATTTACTTCTGAATTAAACTGGGAAAGGCAAAATGCTAACCTCGCGAAAAATGGATAAAGAAACAAAATCGCCCATAACAAGCCAAACAAAAGGTGGCAGAACAGCTTGAACAAGTGCCAATATTAATCCAGCTAGCATCAACTGAAAATACCATTGAAAATGAAACTGAATTCATTTTCTTCTATTTTTACGCTTTTCACGGAATAAAATAATAACCGAATTACCGAATAAAATAATAAATGAATGAAGTCACCCAGAATGAAAAGGTATAAACGGAAGCAATTTAGATAGTTTAGATAATTTTTCTCAGATAATTTTCCCCTCAATATGCTGGGATCTTATATTAAGTTGTGATTATTCTAGTGAAGATCAATTTCCTAACTAAAATATTGGATAGTCCAAATAATCACCTGGATGTCGACTTTGTCAGCAAAACTATATAAAACATTGAAAGATTTCCACTTTCTGCGGGTGCCCATTTTTCAGCAAATCGACGAAAATGAACTGAAATTATTTTCAAAAATTTTGAATATTATAGCAAATAAAAGACATTGCACCGTTATCACAGGTAATCAATTGCACGTGGAGCCAATCAGTTTCACGTTTCACGCTTTGCGTCGAAGTATATACTCAAATTATTATGAAAATATTCATTGAGAACCACCAAATCAGTAGAGTATGTCGATCATTTTTACGAAATTATTATCGCGAAATGTTCCATTAAGAGCGTTCTATTAGTTTTCTCTAAATATTTATTTGTGGTTGATTTGTTGACAATATTCATTTACTGTTAATTTCATCGCATTTTATAGATCGTTTATGAGTGGCCTTGAAGAAAAAAAAGATAGCACAAAATGAACGCCTCGAAAGCTTATCGCTGCGACTAATAACATTTTTGGAACTAATTAAATGGCATACTCAAATAATTTTAAAAAAGAGCTAATAGCAATTCAGTGTTATCTTTCCATTAAGAATCGAGCGAAGCTAATGAAGTTGTGATCTTCACACTAAAAAGAAAAATCTACATTCTAATCGTTCTCGTCCTCCCCTCATACAACTCATATCTGGGTTGGTTGATTTTCTTTGCTATTGGGTTAACAATCCTTTGGAGCTGGCGATCTATTTAGAGACAGAAGTGAATCCCGTGCTGCATCCGGATTCCATCTTCAATTTGAGATCTATCTTATTAAGATATAGGAATTGAACGTAATGGCTCTCCATAATGGCTCGACCATAGTTGAAATAACAGTCAATTATATTAATTAATAATATAGGAACAGCAATAATGGTAATAATACTAATAATACTAATAATAATGGTAATAATATAATACTAATACTAAGAATAGTAATAATAATAGCAACATCAATATTACTAATGATAATACTACTAAATAGCAGTAATAAAAATAAAAAAATGGCATCAAACTTACGTCAAAATCTATAAAATATGTTGAAAAAAAATATGACAAAGTCTATCACTAAAAATTGTTACAGTGAATTTTCTAAGGGCAAGAAAATTGGAAAATGAACTAAAATAAGGCAATAAAGATTTTCTTCTCGCAAAAAGCAGTTTTTTTATTGACCGGTTTTTTATTTAATTTATTAGCCACATTAATTAGTCAGTTTTTTTTCGCCTTTGACGATTAGAATTCTGGAAGAAAATAATTTTTTCAGAAGCTTAGAAAATATGATTGAAGTTAAATTAAATGCTTTTCAGTTTTATGAATCAGAGTGAATATAAAATGCTGAAAATGCTGAATGTGCTGAATCTGTTAAGATGTTTTTACTATGCAAGGAAAGAGAATAGAATCCATGATACTTGACCTTTGTTTAAGCAATATACCATTCGACAAATATAAAAATGCAACGTGATTGTAGATTTTAAGATTATTTTAAGGAATCATCATTGAAATACGCAAAACCCTAATATTATAAATTTTTTTTTTAAGAGTCCCCACCATTACTGGTTAAACTGACTTGTTGCAATTCGGCAATATGCCAAGCAGTACCTTGGAGATAGAAATACAGGTGAGTCGCCAGCATCACGCCAATATTGTAAATTAAGGTATATCAAACGCTAAAATCAGAAATATTTGGATTATTCGAATAGGAGTTATGTTCGGGATATGAGTTATTTGCGATTTAACGAGTAGGTCGAAATTAAATAGTTGCCGTTGAAAAGAAAGAATATGGGAATGCAAAATTATCATGCAAAAAATGTAAAAATTTTGCAATTCGCTTGCATTAGTTCTTAAATTATTGATTCAAATTGAAATTGAAATTTAGTCTACTATAATTCTATAATTTATATAATTTACTATAATTTAATTAATTATTGTTTGATTCATCACGTGGAATTCGAAAACGGCCGATAGCTACATTCTTCGAATTTTTTTTAGCCACCACGATGATTAATAATAATGATTTGAGAAACGGAAAAGTAGACTGTGAAGTTTTGAATCCTTGCAGGATTCAATATATTTGAAATTTGAAAGCAAATATTCCGCATAGATCCGTATAGATTTAAACCAAATTCAACATTTTCACAGTAAATGAATTTTTTAAATTGATTTAGTTGTTTAAAAATCCCAATCGTGCTAAGCAGATGGAAAACCGAACTAAAATAATAATAATAATAATCAAATAATACTTCAGCGATAAAGTTAATATCACCATTATCATCAAACCGCATTTTGGCCACTACTTTCACCACTTATTTTGGCCAACTCGCCTGACTATTAAGCTTAAGACTGCCAGATAGAACCACAGAGGAAAAGGAGAACAGATGGTCTCCAATACCTTCAGAACTTCATTTTTAATAAGATTGGTCCAAGAAAACGGGTCCTTGAAACTGTCTAAAACAACATAAACCTAATTTAATCAAAATTTAAATAAACGTCAGTAAAATTCCTGAAAACTTCATCGTCGTCGATGGCATTCGTTTTCGGTCTGATATTTACATTTTTAGATAATTTATTCTTATTATAAAAGAAATGTTTTGTAGCAGAGAAATATGAGCAAAAAAAGAGTTGTTTTTAAGAAATTGCATCTTAATGATGATTGAATTTCTAGTTTCGACAAGCAGCGATTCGATAATGAAAAATATTATTTCATATTGGCGATGTACACGTGAATAAAGAGACAATTCAAATGAACAGGCAGTACTGAAATAAAGAAAAATTTGAACAAAATAATTTAAGTTTTCAAGACAAAATTAAACAGTTAACACATTTGAGAGAAAATTTTTAAAATCACCAAATTTTCTCGGTATATCAACAAAAAATTTGCAGTTAAATCTCATGCTGTCAAATGAATAAAAAAATTTTTCCACTATGTGGAACGAACAAGATTCGGAACCCGTGCACTTACAATTTGCGGTTGCATAATTCGCAGCCAAACGAAATGACCAAATTTCTAGACATCTTATATAATCGTCCTTATGCATCCTTACACAGCGATGTGCAGTCGAGTGAAAATGGCTTGCTGAACTTATAACCATATAAGTAGCCAGCCGAGCTAGCTAGCCAGAAGTAATGAACAGCAGTCACTTGCTTATTTGCTTCCTTACAAAACAAAGAAGTTAGGAAAAAAAGCGGTATCGAGAACAAATAAGAAAAGAATATTTTCCTTATTTTTATTTTTTTCAATATTTTATATTTTTTTACAAAGCGCTTCAACTTTTTACTATGCAATAAACATTTTAGTTACGATATGTATGGTTTGTTTCACACAAACAATCTATGCGCACAAATAGTTTCATCAAATGAAAAAAAATAATGCATAATAATAATTACCACTGCCACTACACTTTATTTGGAAATTTGGAAGTTTTTAGGGCGTTCTGAAATCACTACTCCATTCTAGACTGTAAATAAAAAAGACGATCTGCGCACAAATCGACTTTCTGCCGGCTCAATACAAAATTTGTTGTAGTGGTACCAACGGAATATTAAATATCGAAAGAGCGATTGGCAGAGGGGTGCAAGTTTCCATCTATAACGAACATCAACTTATTACTTGGCAACTTATTTGCAGTTTTAGAAATGAGACAATTTTTTCAATTAGGTAATTATGAAATAATGATATAACAACAATTTTTATTGCAGAAATGAAGCAGTTTAAGTTAAATTTCTAAGTTTTTCATCGTACGTCGTTCACACAATCGTGGCTTAGAATGATGGATTTTTTCGATGGGCCAATTCATTCATCACTAATTTTGCAGGAGATGAACGACTCACTCTGTTTCACACTGATGAATACCTTTTGTCTAAAACTTCCAAAAGCGCTGGCGGCCCACAGGGATTTCTAGCTAAAAGACTTGCAACTTGCAACAATTTATAAGGCTAGCTTGATTTTGCTAGCTTAACCAGAAATGGTAAGCGAAAAAAAATATCTATCAGCTACGTGCGAAAAAACCTTAAACTTCCCTAAAAAATTCTTTTTTTATTTATTGAAGACCAGCCAAGCAGGACGAAAACGCCATGTGCTTGTATTGATAATAACAGTTAAAATAACAAATAATAAGAATTAGTGACAAAAAAAATAATAAAATATAATAAACAATTTAAAATAAAGAGAAAATTGCAAAATAATATAATATAGTACAATTCGAAATAACTATAATCGGATGGTAAAAATCGAGATACTTCCTGCATGATGTGAACTTTTTAAATAAATATTATAAATGATATTATCTATTCTTTTTTTAATGATAACTAGGTATGGCGCACAAGCTATATCGTTCGGTTGTTTATTCCATTAATTAATATTACGAATAAAGAAATCATGAGTCCTTCATGAATCATGAGTTTGGTTTTACACATAGGTTTTAGTAATTTTAGCCCATTAGTTCTTGTTGGAATTTAAATTTAACCTAAAATTATAATATTTTGAACAATCTAGTGTAACAAAACGATACAAAATCTTATAAGTATAGGTTATTAAATCTTGTTTAATACGAGAACTGACTGAGAATCCAGGTTATATTGTAGAAGTTTTCTTTTATAATTAAAATTGCAATTAGGAGAGGGGCGTCGTATAAAATATTTTTGGAGTCCTTCAATTATTAATATAATCATAGAGAATCGTATAAGTATAAATTAAATCTTGTTTAATACGACGAACTGTCAGAGAATCCAGGTTATTTGATTTCCGATATCTCGGGGAGTAATATGTAGTATTGTAACCAATACTACATGTTACTCTGACAATTCGTCGTATTAAACAAGATTTAATTTATACTTATTAATTTAATTTATAATTTATTAATTTATACTTTAATTTATACTTACATGTTATTTTGAACAATCTAGCTTAATATAATCATAGAGAATCATATAAGTATAAATTAAATCTTGTTTAATACGACGAACTGTCAGAGAATCCAGGTTATATTGTAGAAGTTTTCTTTTATAATTAAAATAGCGATATATTAGGAGAGAGACGCCGTATAAAATATTTTTGGAGTCCTTCAATTA